TCGATTTGCATTCGCATAAGGAACAGCTTCATTCAAACACCTACCGTTTATTTGTTGTAAGTATTTAAGTTAGTTGGTGGATAGCCGCCGCACAGAGTAATACATGGTCGATAACAGTGTCCATGTCAGGTCATTGGATCAGCCTGAGGTATGGCGCCAGGTCACGCGTGATGACAAGACACTCCTCCTTGCGGTTCATTTTTGAATTTTTGGCATTGATCCAAAACGCTTCAAGAGTTTTTCGCGCTGATGTTTTCGATTCCTGCGTAAGGATAGTGACTCCTACCTCAAAATCTTCTCCGTTGTGTTCTTGCATCCTACGCGCGCCTAGTGGAGTATTTTGTTTTAGTTTAGATTTACCGACTAGGTGTTCTTTTATGCGGACGCAGAGCGGTCTACCCGTTTCGCCAACATATTCGTGCCCGCACGCTTTACAAGAGATCAGATAGACTGTACCCGAACTCATGCAATCACCGTCTCTACCATTTGGGCAAATTATGCAGTTTTTTTGTTGTACATAGACGGTCGTACAGGCGGTTGCGAACTAGCTGGAGTCTTAGAGTGTCCGGTGGTATTTCTATCACTCTTACGGAATTCTCTAGACCGGCCCTTATTAAACAGCGTTTTATAGCTGCACTTATTTCGTTTGAAATAATGGGCAAGAGGAACGGAGCCTCCAGAATTATCGCTCTGGGCGTGGAATTTCCTCGATGCCTATCCTGAGAAGCTACAGTTTCGTAACCATTTGAGATGGCTATTTGCCGCACCAGTTTCGAGGATCCTTCCCTCTGCTCTCTACCTGTGCACGCGCTGGCGGCGGTTCGAAACATATTTCCTATAAGCGCTCTTTTAGTGTGTGAGGGGTGAGAGGAGCGGTAGTGAACCACTATATTCTTACTGCTTGGCTTTCGATACCATTTTGTGTTGTAGCCGTTCTCTGAAGTGTCTTAATTGTTCAATCTTTAGGTGCTCTGGAAAATATTTTGCACAAATTATAGGGTTGGCCATGGGACAGCGTTTAGTACCAAGCCTTGCCATCGCTTTCATGTCTAATGTGGAAGCTCCAGTTCTCGATCACCGACCCTTACTCTACTGTCGATACATAGACGACTGCTTAATCGTCTGTTCCACACAAGAACAGATGGATGAGTGCTTTGAATTATTAAACCGACAGTCAGAGTATATAAAATTTACACGAGAAAAACCTACCGAGAACTCGCTTTCATTCTTAAACATCCAAATAAGGCTCTCAGTAAGTGGCTATTTAACAAAATGGTATCGCAAGCCAAGTAGTAAAAACATTCTAGTCCACTGCCTCTCCTCTCATCCTTCACACATAAAAAAAGCGCTTATCAAAAATATGTATCGTATGGCTAAAAATGTGTGTACAGGAGAAGAGGAAAGGAAGGAATCGCGAAACCTGGCACGAAAAATTGCCATTTCCAATGGCTACGAAGTAGAAGCCACTCGGGTTAGAGGAATACGTGGGTGGTTTCCCAAAATAATATTTCAGACGAAAGTAGGATCCACTTTAAGCTGCCCTTCATATCAAATTAAGTAAGTCACGCCATTAAAAAGTGCTTGAGAAAAAGTGGTCTTGAAAATTATATAACGATTATTGACATCCCACCCAATACCGTACCCCGCCAGTTGGTTCGAAACCGTCTCTATGATCGTTTGTGCAGCTCAGAAAACTGTATGATCTGTCCTACCGCGGCGGCGGCGAGTAATATATCGGGGAAACGGGTAGACCACTTTGTGTCCGCATAAAAGAACATCTAGATGGGAAAGCTAAAATCCGTTTAAACACCCCTCTAGGTACGCATAGGGCACAAAAGCACAACGGCGATGATTTTGAAGTGAATGTGCGGATCCTAGCGCAGGAATCAAAAACATCAACGCGCAAAACTCTTGAGGTGTTTTGGATAAATTTCAAAAATCCAAAGATGAACCGGAAGGACGAATGCCTCACTATCACGCGTGACCTGGCGCCCTATTTCACAATGATATTTTGACCCCGGGGCGTGTCCTGCTCGCGACTCCACGTGAACTACGTGTGGGCCAGTCCCGCACGTAACATCACGGTGAGTGGCCTTTCTGTTCAATATGGCGTCTATTTGAAAGTTTGATCTTCATTAATACTTTAACCTTCTTTTCCACCGAATAATAAAAAGTATTCTAAGATAAAGTATGTCCAGGCTCTGAGGAAGGCGAAGTCGCCGAAACGTCAGCCATCGATCAATAACATCAAAAACAACGACAACGACAACGACAACGAAGATCTGTACCAACCTCGCGTCAGCTTAAATAGATCATATACTACATGGCAATCTAAGACATCCAGTACAATGTTTAGGAGCTGGTCGAAGGTCTCGAGATATGATCAATCCTAGTTTGGATCTCAGCAGTTATTCAGTGCAGCTTTTTAAACGTAGTTGATATCACGACACTCACTGAGTCGCAATAGTAACATCAGATCAGGAGTTTGTCAAGAGCAGGTCACTGGCCAACATAGAAACTCCATATTCCAAAAATAGTTCATAATCTGGAGTACTTGCGTCATCCTCTCTTTTCCTAATTCCTTGAATTTGTCACCAGTGAATAATGAATCCGTGTGAAATATATTTGATAAAAAAAAGGAGCTAGCACTAAAGACGAAGTGAAATAAGCATTGTATGAACTCAGACCACGAGATCTGAACTTTATATGGGACTGTAAAACTAAGCCTAGAACTACAGTCTATATAAGCGTGCTTTGAAAGTGCAAAACCCCTTATTTCACTGATAAGATTGAACTTCAATGGATCCATCACTTTGATTGAAGTTGAACTTCAATCAAGTCGTACCTATTCTAGTTTTCTGTTCAAAAACAAACATTCCCTATTCAGGAACGGACAGGGCAGTACATCCAAAGGAGCACTGCATAGAAGGCATAACCGGCCCCGCTAAGTCAAGAAAGGAACGAAATATAATAGTAAAGTTAGCGGTTTTTTCGTCTTATTCTCACCTTTCTTGAAGAAGTTCCTATGAGTAGAAAACGATAGCATTTAGTAGACTCTCACAAGTGTTCCACTTTACTTAAGGAAAGATTTACCTAACAAAACGAAGCTTACTCTGAAACCCGATGAAACTATGGTTCTTGTAGATTTATTAGCGTACTGATCACTGAATACACAATGAGCGGCACCAAGAGTTTTAATTGTTCATTCATTTCATGAAGAGATGCTGATGGATCGCTGTCTTAACTCCAACATTTGGTTTACATGACTTAGGAATTTAGTTAGTTCCTATGATTTTCACGGAATTCGACGTGGAAAGGGTTAAACTTACCGAAAAAAAATGATGTACTCTGACATTAAAAATTTAAACATCAACCACTGAACCAAAAACAAAGTATTAATTGAACGCAGAGGTAACGTGAAAACGAAGTTCTTCGGCGAAGTACAGTCACCGGAGTTCGAGACCGTGTTCGGTTTGTACAATATTCGAAGACCCATGGACAATTATTTCACTGATTTTGGCGCACATCTCGTCAATTGCATTATCCAACTTCGCTCGTACACATTCTCCTTTCGATAGAACCCTCGTGGAGGCTAACAAGTCTCCAATACGAATGTCCACTTTCTGAGACCAACCCTAAAACCAAATGCTTATAGCTTAAATAAATAAATAAGAAGTAAACAAACTTCACATAACCACAGTGATGCCGAGATAATTACAAAAGTTAGACTCCAGGCCAGATCGAACCACGAATAGTGGTTTTCCGTGTTGCTCACGGTCCGATCTGGCACGAGGTCCATGTTTTCCAGATATCTCAACATCACTGTGCATTTCACATAACACCCTGCCGTGAAAAAAAAATAATAGGCAGCAGATTAAAGTTAAACTTCACATAATTATGTGTCCATCTATACAGCTTTTCCTTTGCAAAACGATCTACTCAAAATCTTTTGTGTACACGTGAAAAATCATTATGAGTCAAAAGAACAACTGCTAGAACACTTGAACAAACGCAGTATAGCTTCGAACCAAACCACATAACGCTACACGTGTTTCCAATAGCACGGCATCTAGTGTTCGCGAGGCAAACGTTACCATGTGACATCATATGGGTAGGAAATAAGTAAAGAAATGTTTAACGTTTTGTTTTCTGCCTTCTATAATTTTCATGGCAGGTTACTAAGCGAAATACAACCACAACGTTGCTGAGATATATAGAAGGCAGAAAACAAAACGTTAAACATTGTGATTTCAACTACAGCCATAGCTTAACTGGGTTCTATGCCGATTTGCGCTCCCCAGATCAACCCCGCTGACGGGTGATTGCTGTGGCAAAAAGATCGATAGAAATAGCTGAGAGACGTGCGAAACAAAGAACCCGCATGGTGTGGTGGTGAACGCGTTACTCCCCGGAAAGGATAATAGCGCGTTCGTTCCCCACCATAGACACCTGCGGTCCAGAGTTTTGCAAATATCTCAGCAACGTTTAAGTAAAGAAACTCAACTAAACCTCAGCCCAAAAGTTTAACATCGATTTTCATTACACGATTCTATACCACATATTGTGCAGACCGCAGTGTTTCTTTCTTTTCATTCGATCCTTTAACTGAATCCAGCATCCAGTGGTGGTCTTCGGATTTCTCTTGTATTACATTTCTAAGACGACTACGATTTCTAACAATGGTTCACTACTAGTTCTATTTTAGTAAAAAAATGTAGAATCCATCCGTAATTTGGTCTTTTAACACTATTTAGTTATTAATCACCTGCTAAACATTGCAATACGATAGCTGAAAAATCCCCACCATAAGAAGTTCAGTAAGCGGTGGGAGTAGGAAGAAGTGTGTTGAAAATTGTAAATTTTTGCCAAAATACGACAAAGGATATTCGTCTAAGTGCTAAAGAAGGAAATACCTGCCTATGCAATTATAGAAATAGTGCTTACAATCACTTCCTGATCACAACAGATGCTCACAAATGAAGACTTACTTGCAAATGGGTGGAATGTTGTGATAGTTCCAAGTTGACTTTCTCTAATGCCATATGAAGTGCTGAAAACGATCTCTGCTGAACGACCGATGGTGTAAACATGCATATCTCTTGTGAAATAAAAGGATTGGAAGAAATTTCTCGCCTTGACCAACATTTTAGAATCGTCCTACTGCATAGAATCATATTTTCAATAAATTCCTCTAGGAAATATTTGTGAACTTAGCAGAACTACCCAAAAATGAAGAGAATGATTAATTCTTCGTAGGAAAGTCATCTTTTCATTGACAGTGCACAATTTATAGCCTCCAGAACAAAAGTCGAGTCACAGGAATTTATTTTCGAGTGGAGATTGATTTATTGCACTCCATACGTATTTTGGACAAGAGTACCTAATCATATAAAGTAAACCATGAAACGAATATCTGCAGAATACCCACCTTTAAATGTTTTCACTCCAATAGCCAGCTTTTCTGCCTTCTTTAAACACCTTCGTAAAAAATTGCAATATAAATCTTGCGGACCTGAGCCACTGAAGTGCAGCATTTTGTCCTAAAAGCGGTAAGAATCGTTCTTAATTATTTTATTAACTGAAAATATATTTAAACACATTCAAAACAGGAACAATCTTGTTTATTTAACCCTTTCAGGATTGCGGCCATATTCACGTGTCGGGTCCACCGGACCGTGTCTTTATAGCGCAATCGAAATGCGCATTGAAACGAAGATATACGGCCCGTAAGCCCTTGTAAAAGGCATGGCTCATCGGCCTCTTCAGATTATCATTCTATCCTTCGGCTTTCTTATATTTTCCCATCTCTCTAATTTCTACGTAACCGCTACGTTCTTGCGTATAACCCATGTTCTTGGACACCTCTTGTGTGTGTGATGAAAAAAATTCGTTCATTATCTAACCATGACTGTATTAACCTTCTGTATGGTTTTTTTTGATAGCTAAAATGTGTTTCTTTGTCTACTTCATGTTTTTTTTATACTCATTGGTTCCATTCCGCTGCCTGAAAAGCTTTTTTACAAGTATAGAGAATGCCTATTTATGTACCGGCGTCAGATAAATGTACCGACCCAACAGATACGACTTTGAAAATTAACAGTGGATCAATAGTCATTCAATATGTGCTGTAGGAAAAAACAGGTAACGGGAAAAATCCTTACCTTCACCATAATATTCTCACCATGTAAAAATGTCTCTACGATTGCATTCACAGCACACTCTGTCCAATCTATGTTTGGTTGTTTGAACCTGTAAAAAGCAGAAACTGAATAGAAATTGTTATGCAGGGTTAAAGAACTTAAAAAAATATTAACAGCAACATAAATGTACGCCTCCAAAACTTTTTACCTAGTAATTTCATCCAGCATTCGAAAATCAATATGTTTATATTAAGAATCAAACTGAATGGTCCCTTAAACGATGATACATGGCATAAGGCACAGATTGTGTAGGCCGAACGTTCTCATTTGGACCAAAGAAAATTAGATAAAGATGACGAAGAGATAAAAAATATACTTATGTTGAAAAATAAGGATATTAGCTATTGATATCCGCATGACTCCATCGGAGACCTGTTTTGTCCATGGAGACCGCACGCGTCCTGTAGCCTGATTCAACATCTCCATGGCCGACGCACGATAGTCCGCCTGAAGAGCACTGCTCGAACAAATCGACAAAATCACTGATACTTCCAAAGAACAATTTCAAAAATGAAAACCTCTATAGCCGTCTGAAATCACACAAGTATTGATCGAAACTAATCTATTATTTATCTGTGAATTTTATGGATTTATATATGCCTACCAAGTCATAAAGCGTTCATCAGCGTTGGACTATATCGAAGATGAACCTAATGCCTAATTGATTATGATTAAATCGTAAAATTCCGTCTCCACCATAAAATGAGAATAAAGGAAATTTTTCAAAGCCTGTGAGAAATAATAGATAGGTGTAAAAGCAACGGCGTCTCATCTATAGAACAACTGTGCTCAGATACAACTTTAATAGGCAAGACAGAAAGCGTTAAGACTTACATATCTTTACCAATAAAATAAAAGTTTATTACTCTGTTGACATTAGATTACGACGGCTTAGAAGTGACAGATTCTTCAAAGGTATAGGTACTAAGGTACCAGGTATTACCAAAAAAAAGAACGTTTTAAAAAAACAACTACGCACAAGCTAAATTGGTGACTTCAGCTGAGAATGATCGTCTACGGCTAAAGAAAAAGTGGAATTTATGGCTTAGAAAACATGTTTCCCTGTCAATAGATGATGAATATAAGCATGTAAATAAAGGCAAATTTTAGACCAATATGACAATGAAATGAATATAAATGCAAGTATGAATAAATAATCAGCAAATAAGAACATAAGTATGGAATTTTCATCAAGTAAAAACTACCCGGCAAACAATGGCGTAAGTAGGGAAAGAATCTTACCTGAAGAAGATATATCTTAATTTGCTTCATTTTCTCTTCAATGTACGAATCTTCAGAATTCACTCTGAAAATAGGAGAAGCATAAAACACAAAGTCAACGGAACTTCAAAGAAGATTCGAGATTGCTATAAAAATTATGCAATTGTTTTTCACTGTTTATGAGGTAAATTGACCCGACACGACTAAACATGAGAAAAACTCCTGCTAGAAAACCACAGTTTTAGACAAAAACACATTTCATGATCTCTTCTGGATTGTTGCAGGTAATCCTAAATCTTTCAAACCACTTCAGTACATTAAAAATAGTGGCTCTCAACACATTTTCGACAGTTAAAGGACCCTTAATTGTGATATAGTGCTCGTGGAAACTCTGAATCAGTCTAAAGATCCTCATATGCTGGTAGTTTTTAAACCTCCCGATAATTTTTCTATAACCTAAAACAACTGAAAATTTGGGTAACTTACAGAGGAGACTTTGCGCTGTCGCTCTAAGAACATAAATAATTTCTCCAAATCACTATTTTTTTGAACATTTTTGGTTCAAAATTTACAATGGAAAATGTCAAGAAATTTAACGTAAGACTGGGAACCATTCACTCCAACGGCGGACTCTTGAGTACAACTGCGTCCTGCAGCATGCAATACCGCTTGTTCAGTCGCTTCGCGGCCCCAAATATGAGCTATAACGAGAAGTAGGCGAACGGAACTAAACTATTTGCGCGCTTCAAAACAACAGAATTTAATCACAGTCACCTACCATCTGTCCCCTCGTTGAGCGTCGAGTGATATGGAGCATGCCACACTAGTCTCCATTTGTCCACGCCCTGTGCAGTAACTCAGCGGACTTTGTTTATTCTACAGGCTCGAAGTGTATCACATTTTTGTTCTGGGTTCTTTGTGAATAGAGCTGATAATCGGTTGGATGGCCTAACTGCTGTCCGCTTGAAATTCCGTGGAACTTATTGACTAATGGATATTACTTAAAGGTTCCTGGTAAAACACATGACCGAACCATCTGATTTTCAACATCTTGTAAGATAGAGTCACTGGTCCTTTATCAACGACCTAGACCAGAGCTTTAATTCCGTCTTCTGCCGCGCGATTCGAGATATTTCTAGCATCGCATTCTCAACGGTCCGTTCAATAAAGTTAAGGTGTCTTTAATCCTGTGTACAAATAGCGTCCAGGTTCTTGACGCGCACGCTCTGGCAACGAAACTCATAGATTGAAAAAAATAACATGGAAACAGTTGCTCTCTGTCATCTTCACTACATCCTGGATACTCTCCAAGCTCTCTAAGCTGTTCGCTACCTTCCACTCAGGTTTGAAATTAAGTACTTTGTCATTTTAATTTTTTGACCCAGATACATATAGCTGTAGCATTCGGAGGTATTCATTTCATTTAGCACCAATAGGGCGTCCGAAGCAAATTCGCTTTTTATCAAAATCGACTGCTTAGGATTTAGGCGAAGAATGACCTCTGCGTAGGAGTTGTCAAAGTCGGCTAGAAGACGCTCATTTCTAACAGTGTTTAATGTTACAATAAGTATGGTCCACTTTCGGCAATTGACTTTCATTCCTTTTTAATCCCATTCTTTTTATAACGTCTTGAGGGTGAATGTGAACTGTTTTAACATGAATGTATCGACGTAGAGGGTCCGGTGGTATCTCAACTATCACTACCGATTCCTCTAGACCTGCGCTTCCTAAGAACCGCTTTATCGCTACACTTCTTTCATCGCTAATGAAGGACAAAATAAACGGGATTTTGTTTCGGCCAAACCCTTCGTTTAAGGACGTCGCTCTCCTTCTAAACTTATCTCGTGGGGTTACTATTTCACAGCCATCGGAGATGGCTATTTCTCGAGCCAAGTTGCCAAGTAACAAGAACATCCTCGTTCATTTCCTTTCCCCCACACTTCACACACAAAGAGAGCGCTCGTGAAAAACATTTCGAACAGCCACCTCTGTGTGCACGAGTAGGGAACTAAAAAAAGAATCGCGCAACTTGGCTCGGGCTGGTGCAGTAATCAACCATATGCGGCTCTAAGTGGCTGTTCTTCCTTCGTGGGAAACAGATAAAAACGGTGGGTTTTTCGAGAAGCCGGTGAACATGTAATTATTCTTCAGATTTTCACCTTTCTGTTTGCGTTGTTGAAGCGTTTGACGCAGTAAATTACATATTAGTGTACCCTTCCAGGCTCTGAAGAAGGCGATACTGCCGAAACGTCAGCTACTGCTGTGTTGTATATGTTATATTTGTAAGGAAGTAAAGATGTGCTGAATAACAACCTCACGATTGCTATAAAAAAGAGAACAACAGATTTGTTCGGTCTATTCTCTAATTTTTTTTGAGCTATATGAGCTTCCGAGTGAGGAAATTGTGTGAAAACGTGTTTTGAGCGCGAAAAACGACCTCACATTCGATGTGGGCGAGTTGTCCGTCCGGACTCTATACGACGCCTCCGAACGCGATTTTCGCCATTTGCAGCCGGCTGTCAGCTAGCTACACGCTCCTGCAAACACCCACGCCAGATACTGTAACCGTTGACGGGTTATCCGCCGAAAATCCAAAAAACGCGATTAACGCCTCTCCGGCTGTCAGCTAGTAGTCACTCCTGGCCTGCCAGATAAGATACCGCCCCTGCGGACGAGTTGTCTGTTGAACCCCCCACCAAAAAAAACGCGATTTTCGCCGCTCCGACGTTATTTAGGCGGCTGTCACTACCACACTAATCGCGGCGGGTTCTGATACGGAGAGATCTGATTTATTGTCTCTTGAACAATTGGGACCTTAATGGATCCTAGAACTGCTTTTATAGTCTCTAGAAATACCGAAAATTAAATTTACAGCAATGCGGTTTTCGGTGTATTTTGAGGTATTGCTGGTGTGTTTCGATCCATTCAGGTCTGATCGCGGCGGATTCTGATACGGAGAGATCCGATTTGTCTTCTGAACAATTTAGACCTTAATGGGTCTTGGAACTGTTTTTATAGTCTCTACATGTCTCTATGACCATAGGACCATACGCTATATATATATATATATATTTGTATAAATATATGTATGTACGCATGTATATACATATGTATATACATATGTATATATGTATATATATACATACATAAAGATTATCTCCAGCCGTTTGTCAGCTAGTTAGTCGCTCCTGCCTGCCAGATAAGCCGCGATTATAAAAGGGTTAAACGATTCAACACTCCAGCAGTAATGAAACTGCGCGAAAACATTACCATGACAAAGAAAATAAATCTTGGTAAGCCCTCCGCAAGGGAGGAGTACTCTCACGATGCTTAGACGTACCAGATATTGTTGAAATATAACAATTTTATATGGTTGGAAACGGAAATTATAAACCGCACACTATTACTTCAGCGGTCGTATCTAATGCAACATTAACCGTCCTTGTTTTTACCGTAGGACAAGCCCTTTATTTGTAATCTCTGTGCTCAAGATTATCGCATATAATCATAATATTACTAGCCTAGTTAATAGAAAGTCAGACTCCTGCTTTCACATTCTTTGTAAAGAGGCGTATATCAGAAGCAAGAGTTTTTGTAACAACACACAATTTTGTATGAGATCCACAATTTGTCATTGGGGGTTTCATAACTGGAAAAAAATCAATCTGAGACCACAAGCTGCTACTTCGTAGATTCCAGTGTTAAAAAATAAGTCTTCTTTGTTGATTGTTGTAATCAAACCTTAAAACTGTTCACGGAACTGTACACTAACTAATCATTCGGTCCAATAATTAGATAACAGAACCGCAAGTGACCTTTAATAGCGTGAAAGCAAGTAACAGATTATTTACCTGGTGGGATTTCTTGATACATTAGGTACTACTTTTGGTGGATTTGGTGTGGTTGTTGGAGCCGCTTTTATAGGTGCAACGTTCCCATTCATAGAAGTTTTGGATTGGTTCTCCAAATATAGCGAATTTGCCTAAACTATGTGAAAAGTTAAATTAGAATCGAATTCATACATGTAGCACACATCCGTAACTCCCACCTTCTCCATAATCCCAGAACCCATCCTTCTCACTTTTTCCATCACTGCATCGCTGTACACACAGCCTATCATGTTGACATTTATAAACAACTGTGACAGACAGAGAAGTTGATCCCTAAAAAATTGGAAAACGAATGGCACATTTTTAAAGTGGGTTGATTTAGGACTTGAAAAATCTATAATGCTCTCATATGGAGAAATTCCACAAGACGAGAAAAACGGTTTGTTCAATTGTTTAAGTCATGAAAACTAAGGATTATAAACAGCTCGGAGAAGAACCACGTCCGTCTACCATTACCGATTTCTTCAACATTATCGCGACGACGCTAAATTTTTCGCTGTGTATACCGCGACATCTCTTGTCATTTCCGCTCTATAAATCAGTTTTCCTCTCTGTTTTTAAAGAATCTCTAGGCTTCCCTTAACCTATGTATGCTCCATGTTCTTTTACAAATCCTCCCGTTTTTGCCGCATAAACAAGTCTTGTGAATGGAGAGAAAACACTCGTCTACTATTCAATCATACTGCAGTCAGCATACAGTGACGCTGTATAAGATATGCAAGGAATATTACGATGTTTACCTTGTGGCTTTCACATCCACTCATTTCATACAATAACTCAAAGTCATCGTAGTAATTAAAACTCAGAATACGACGAACAGCTTAGCAAGAACAATGCTGCCAACTGCACGTGATGCCAGTTCTTCGAGGCAGAGAAGCTTTTGCGTTGTTCACTGGCGACACTTTCTGGGCCGCACATTCTCTTCAACAATAAAGCTCTTCCATCTCAAAATGAGAAATTACGTGTGAAATTATTAAGAAGCCTCCCAACGGTTTACCGCCTCATTGTGGCTGGGAGGTGCTCCTGGATGTCTAGTGGTGATATACACCACGGGAATTCATCCTCCCATCAGGGCCTCCCAATTTGAGGGTCCGGCGTTTCGATCATGAAGCCCAACTAAGTGTAAATCAATACCAGGCTTCACTACCGTCCTGGTATGAAACTAGTCGCGTGCTAGTAAATCTTCACCTGATCACAAGAGCCGCGACTGCCTGCAGTGGTGACGACCTTGCGCAGACTTTGGCCTGACTGACCTCAAGACTCCAGGGAACCACAATGGCTAGACTAGCACTACTCCGAAGGGATGAAAAATACGCTAGGACCCGCACATCTAGTGAGGACGAGTCACAAAAGTGTCCAAGTAGGTAACTACTAGTCAACCACTCTCGGAAATTTGTTATGACACCTTTAGGAGTCACCCGTAGCGAGGGTGTTAAACGAAAGCTAGTGTATTAATTAAAACTACATACTAAAGGCATGTCGTGCAAGTAAGCTTAAGTGATAACCATGTATAAGGTGCAAAAATCCTTTTCCTTTAGTTTTCGATAATCTTCTAGCTTAGCACTATATAAGAAAAATCTATTGTCATTGCGATAAACAGCAATATGAATCAATAAGAAGAAAATGGAGCCCTATTCAAAAACGAAAGACACTTAAAGGAACATTATGTGAAAGCAGAGAAACTTGGACAATATTAAAACTAATGACCAACTCCAAAAATCCAGGAGATTCAGTTAAGATTGGAACAATCGCAAAGGTTCTCTCGCACTTAATAAGAAGAGCGGTGGACTCCTATATGAATTATAAGACACAATCGATGTCCCAAATTTAAACTTAATCCTACGTAGCAAACCAGTCCAATAATCCATAACCTTAGAACCCACATGTTAGGAAAAAGAATAAAGAGCTATTTTTATTGACTAGCACACAAGAGACTGTTATTATAAACTATTTATTTACAGCAGCTGATGTTTCGGCGGATTCCGACTTCTTCAAAGCACGGAAAGGTCAATTTGACGGTAATCAATTCAGCCAAGCACCACCATAAAAAACAAAGGAAACTGAAAAACCTGGGAATTACCATAAAAAAAAAACAAAGCGTTCTGAATCGACCAATACCTGGAAGGTGCGCCACCCATTCGACTTAATGAGGTATCGGTAAACGTGATAGGATGCATATTTCGCCTATACAATTGTAGTTTCCTAGTGATGTATCAAATCAATGCTGCTGCCTTCGCAAATATGCCTGATAACAATTTGTCTACCCGGAAAGATTGATGCGCAGAATTGAACAGGGGACGAACGAGTGTATATTGCAGGGCACCTTTAACCACTGCGCTAATTGGCTCCTCTATGTTACCAGCAAAAAAATTTGTGCTTTGTATCTGGTCACTGACGCCCACCTACCCTACTTTTAGCCACGAAGAAAAGGATAATGGATCAATCAGTCAGAAATGTCACATCAATGATAGCGTATGCGTCAGAAACCTGGTCGCTGCGTAAGCAGGATGAAAGATTACTCAGCGTTACTGAACACGCAGTCGAAAGGACGATGCCAGGAGTACCCAGTGTCACATAAGTGAAGGAAGGAATCCAAAGCACGACCTGCGCAAACGGTCAAAAAACAAAGGTGCCGTTCTGTACGCCAAACTGTCGAAGATAAGGTGGGCCGGACAAGTAATGCGTGTGAACGACACCTGATAGACAAGAACCGTTAGTGACTGGATTCCTCGGAATGTCAAACGCACTGTGGGAAGATCACCGATCCGATGATCAGAGTTCTTCACGAAGACCCTAGAAGAAAGGTATGATGCTCAACGAGTCTCTATAACGAACAGAACCCACTGGAATACTCCTGTAAGAGGCAGGAAAACATAAAGGATTTATTGGAGCTCGTTCGAGTCAATCGAAGATCAATAGCACAACAGGTGACATAGGTAATCATCACCCAGGCCTAAGGTCTGCCTAGCGAGAATGTTTTCCGGAGCACTTGTTTACAACTCAAGAGTATTCCACCATGCGAAAGTGCTATATTGTCTACTATTTTAAGCGAGAAGCATGGGCATTCTATACTAAACATCGTTCATAATAGAACTAAAGGTGAAGCTCGACCTGCATCGCACCTCGGTACCTCAGTCCAATACTTTCGTAAGAAGGTGCGCCGAATCAGCCACGCACGATCGCTCTCATAATGCTTCCTTTCCCTATCTACTTCTTCTTCCAACGTCATTCACCTGTAAGATGTTTTCTGGATACCCAATAGAAAAGGTAATGTCAATCCTCTGTCGATAAGCAATGGTAAAACAGAAGGAAACAACCTCTCGTTATGAGTCTAAGTTGTTGCTTTACACTATACAAACATTTATTTCGCTCAAATCATAAGAGTCTACAATTTGATACACTAATAAGGACGAAATTTTATACCCAACGGATTTGCGATAGGATTTTCTTTGCTTAAATCAGCAGGGCTTAAGAGTTAGAAGGAATAACAATGTGTTCGAATAATTAAACAGCAGTTGAAGATTATTCGCAATTACTGGTAAAAACCAGCATCCGTTGTGTTCACAAAAGATTGCACCGAAAGTTATATCCCGAGACCAAGTCACCTTTAACGTTGCAAATTCAACTCGTTCATGATAAGGCTTAAAGATCTTCAACTGCAATACAGAATATAGCACAAAAGAATGATATGAGTAGAAGAGGAACCAAAACCAATACTCCGTACTGAGAGAATAGGAAAATAATGAAGATGCTTAAGAGCACGCCATAATTTGCTAGCACCTGAAAGAGATCACGTATGTATAAAATCCTTTTATATTCAAAATATTGTTCCTATCATACACGAATCCTCAGAGCTGGAGGAGAAACCTTCAGAGTTTTGGAAAATACAGGAGACGTCACAGAACCTGACGGATTTGGACAAGGTGGATCCATCACTGTCCTAGCAATCGCACCAAAAACTAGAAGAAACCGCAAACATGGTGTCAGTAATTCAATTCGTTACAGCTCAGATAACAAAACCAGACATTATTTCTACTTCTCAAACTAACCTGTATCTTTTGAATACTGCTCCGCTAAAGCACTAACAACATATGTTTTATTTAAGTATTCATTGATTTTTGTTAAAACAGCAACCAGTGGTGGGAACTCATACGGTTTCGCCATCGATTTCCAGTGTGGAATTAAATGCGAACATGTTGAAAAGTTAAAACGCCTGCAAACAATAACCAATTTTACAGGATTCAATGATTTAGAGTGTCTCTCAACACACAAAAGAGAAAGTAACATTCGAGAGTGAAACAAAAGTTCCCAGTGAAGAATAACTCCGTTTCATCTGTGTAATTCTGAACGTCATGGGACTGAAAACAGAAAATAACCAACACCACCTTTCACCACTCCATACTTGACGTTTCCCAAGGTCCGTCAAATACATTAGTCCTGTAGTAGGATCTCTTACATGGTCTGGTAAAAGTTGCGGTGCTCTTTTTGGAGTCTCCGAGAATGGAGTATAGTAATTGTTAGTAGGAAAGCTGTAAAAGGAAGTGAATGACTGTGTGAATACAATAATAGAATTACTACTCCATACTTTGATCTGGTAGAATCAGTATTCAAAGTCGCCTGAGCCATAAAGTGCGTCCCCATATTAGCATCGGCTTCAGCCAACAGGTCTTCCACGGATTTGATGACCTCGTAATTATCTTGCATAGAAGGTGATAGAGATTCTCCAAATAGGACATGAAGAAAGGATTGTTTCTAGTAAGTGAAAGTAATCAACATTGGTAAACAACGAAAGAATTCTTAATCAAACCTCAAACCACTGACCTCGTTCCTCATCAGCATGACAGATTCTTTAGAATCTCGTAAATTTGATGAAACACTTTCAAGCAATTCTCTTGTATGTGGCCTAGCATTAACTCCAAGTTCTCTAAACGTTTGAAAACCGGTTGAAACATTTTTCCTACAATTTCTATTTTGTTTACTTCACGCAGACCGACGTGGAATGAATTCTATTCATGCGTTTCTTTTGCCGTAGAGACTTTTTTGATAAAATTTTTACGACCTTGCTTTCTTCACCACAGATGTTCAAGCATGAGCCACCACAGAAAAGCCTTTCCCATACTTAATTTCCAAATATTACTTTTTCCAGTTTGTTCGACCCATTACCATACTTTTGATTGGTAGGATGGTTTCCTACGATTTCCTTTATCATAGGGGCCGTTAGTGGTGAGCATTGTACAAAAATATTATCGCGTCGGTCTAGTATGCGCTACGCCTCCACACAAAGTATCCTTGAAAAAAAGCCGTATTCAATTCCGTTGTGCTCAAAGCACGTTATGTTCCAACCTGAACGTTTTGCCACCAGAACGTTTTTAGCTATGCAATTTACACTTCTCACACGCAGTTTTCATTGCAATCTGCAACCTCCAACGTTCACACTTTTGGTGACTTACTGATGCAATCTAAACAGAAATATGGCTTCTTTTCAACCGAATGGAGTACTTCATTCAGGTGTGCATAAAGAATGTTGGTCAATTCCCATCCAACATGATCCGCTTTTTGGGCAGACAACGCGCCCTAGAGCAGATTGTACATCACTTCCTGGCACGTTGTGTGGCAATATTTTAAAAACTCGCAGAAAGAAAATCATATTGCATGGCGATAATATAAAAACGTCCAATCCGTATAAAAAGTAATTTCCGAGTGAAGGTCACAATTTCAATGGAGCTCCGTCTACTGGATTAAATTCGGTGAAACTACGAACAACCACATCGCAACAAAGACCAGCTAGTGATCAATGACTTGGATGAATAGGGCTTTGAAGAAAGTGAAGGAGTCAAAACGTTGGTCGCATAAAAATTTTTGCACCAACGTCGTGTCAGCTGAATCACGTAAAAATTATCGACTACTGTTACGGAGGTTTAACGAAAACTGTTTTTTAAGATATGGGTTGTTTCGCATGCACCTAGTGCTGAGCTGCTTGTTACGTGTGCCTGAAAATTCATAGTCATTAATTCATTCCAACCTTTCATAACATCCAACACATCTGACAATGTTCCCATATTTTAAATTGTTTTCGAGATATAGTCAACTAAACGGCCATACACGTTATTCACTGGAATCAAAGCGAAATATGCTTTCCTATGTTGAGACACCAAACATCATTTCTTAACCTGCACGAGGAGTCGTTTGGTATTCATTGTGCAAGTTCCAGCCAGAAAAGTTTTCCTTTTGAATATACCATCCAATAAAATATTTGTGCGCAAATTACTTGTGTACAGGGCCTTTCGCTATCCAATGGACCCTTATGAGTCTTATCGCCACCGCTTCCACAAAACCACAAACAATGTGTTCTGTATGCTGTATATCTCAAAGCGACATTATAATTGTGGACGCGTATCCAACAAAAAGGCGCGTGTGGCCCAGTGGTTAGGTGCGCCTTTGCCACTCACACGTGGAATCGATCCCAGCACCCATGGCTCACCAAACCTTCCATCCCTCCGGGGTCGGCAAATTGGTATGAGACTTCTCTGGGAGAATAGCAGCACTGGCTCGATACATCGGTATGCCACCGCGAGTCATTGTAAAAGACAGATATGCATTTAATCACCCCTAACGATACTTAATGAAGTCGAATGCATGGCCCATACCTCAGGGATTGATCAACACCGAGAGCTTTAGCTTTTATCCGACAAAACTACACCTTAATACCTTGACCGTCTATGTTTTGTGTATGGAATACATTGACGGAACTCTACACTTCCTCTAAACAGTAAACGGGACTCATGAATACGATCGTTTTTTTTTGAGATCTGTGGATTCCGTTGAAGTTTTTGTTGACCAATCTTATCCATCATATGTGTCACACGAACGGATGTGGTCTGACAGTTTTCCAACCGTGTTCTGCGCCTTTAATCTAGGTCAAAAATAGATGAGGCCTTAAGGAATCTATAAATCGTGGCAGCACTAAAATTTCTATGCCGTTCCACTTGGCCATCAATGAAAGTCGACCGTTGAGCCGTATTTGATAACTGAATACGTTTCGTCGAAACCAACCTGAGCATAGTGACCATCGGCTCCTTCCAAGAAAATTCCACAGTTGCACGAACGACTCGAACTGTATCGATTGTTAAGTTGAACGTCGCAACTCTAGATCAGGATTCTTCTAGTAACATCAGATTGTAAATGAAGAGTTTACACCAGAAGGATATGTACCATAACTCTGAAGTTGACCCTACTTACCTTCGAAATATTTTTCCAAGAAGTATACGGTAGAATTTTTCGTGCACACGTATGAAAGGCATCCAAGGACCTCTTAGAAATTCTTGCTCAGATAAAGTTGAGAACATATCCGCATACCGCCACGGCCGTGAGAATGTCATCCAACATTCTCAATAGCACGTATTTATATGACTCCATCCGATACAAAGAAGAATGCATAATTTTTTCAGGACTTACGAACGAGATCCTTAAATATACATATCGTTGGACATTGTTCAAGGAATGTGTAAAGAAATGAGTATAAATGTGAAGAGAACGGTGGACGACAATGAAGCGAGCTCTGGAAAAGTCGCAGTTTGGAAAAGTTGTAATTTCGTGTACCATTAAGAAAAAATTGTGTAACACACTTTTACTGCAAAGGATTCCTGATCTCCCATGTCATACATACAGAAGACGTGAAACTGTTTCAATAAGTACCTGCAGACATTCAGATAATGCGCCATTAGTAACCGCCCATTATTTAAAGTTTTAACCTCAACATCATCAATCTGTTAGCCGATGGGAAATCACTTGTATTACATAGAACCGTGACAAAATTACAAAATATCGTCAGATGGCGCGGATGGAGGGTAGACGAGTAAAACTCCTGAGACTCTAAAACACCGGCTGAATTTTCGAAACATTACAGAAAAAAAACATGACTATAGTTTGTTCCTAAACACACCTAACTTTATCGAGTTGACTAAAGGCGATGTAGGAAGAAAAAGATCTAGCGGGGTGCGCTTTCTATGCCCCACTTCAGTAACTAGTGGTGCACATCCAATACTAGGGACTGTTGACTCAATTGGTAAAAGCCGTGTCACATAGAAAGAGACAGTTCGCATCAACACACTCTCGGCAGATACAGATGTGTGCTGAAAATTTCAGAAGACCTTCAAACTGTGCTTCTAACGATCATCCTTTATGACTCCATGAACTTTAGTTTTGAAATTGAACACAATAACACTAGAAACCGCACTTGAGTGCTTGCATCCGCCTGTTGACCAACAGCGAGCCAGAACTCATTTGAAAGCCCATCGTCTGCTTCAAGAATGGTCTGGAACAGCAGATAAAGTTTCAAGTATATACTCTGGATAAACCTCTAACTGGTGATAAATTTCTGGTCATCAATTAGAAATACCAGATAAAAGAGTTAGGCACTCAATTAGACTCGAGGTAACTGAACACATAGCTGGCATGTAGAAGAACTTGCGAACACCTACTGGTATATTCAGTTTTTATAATTCTCCCAGATAAGTACACCACCAATTTCCTAAGGGATATTCACCCTATTACTGAACAGGCAACACCAACGACATTTAAACCATCTCATATAATACATTTTCAATTATATGCATTGATTCTAATTCACACAGTGAGAACAACACATTTTATTACATACCCTCGTTTCAACGGATTTTTCTGAATGCTTTCCCAGCTGTATAAACGTTTCTTTGATATCCTTGGTAGTAAATCGGTAGTCGCTAGCACCTCTTTTACAGATGTGTAACAAGGCGCCGTCAAAGAAAGACAATACAGGAGAAGCCACACATTGAAATTCACAAAAAAAAACAATAATAACAATGTTAACTTTTTATTTACTGCTTATCATAAATTTTCATGGCATAGTATTACGCGTAAAACAACCTCAATGATGCCGAGATATTTGCAAAACTCTGAACAGCAGGTGCCTGCGGTAGGGAATGAGCACGTTATTCCCGTTTGAGGGGGCTAACGCGTTCACCACCACATCATCTGGGTTCTTTGTTTCGCATTCCTCTTAGCCCTGTTTTAACCTATAGGTGCTATCAGCAACCATCCGTCAACGGGATTGATTTTGACATTTTTAATAGTGCATCTCGATAGATACTATCGATTAACTAGCTAAGAGAGAGGCGAAACGGAGAACCCGCATGGTGTGGTGAACGCGTAAGCCCCCGGAAAAGATAAAAGCGCATTCGTTCCTCACACCTGCAGACCGGAGTTTTGCACATATCTCAATAACAATAATCTACAACAGTTCATTCGTAAGAATTACTCATTCACCGTCTCCCCCCTCTTCCTCTCTCTCTTCCATAAATCTAGTTACGCGAAGATTGACTAACTCTTGTGACGATGGGATATCACAAGGAGCGTTCTTGGTACAAAGATAACTCCGCTGCAATTCCTTGCCTGCTATGCCGATAGAGTAATGACATTAATTCACCAATAATTATTTATTCCTTCATATTCCACACAACCCATTTCTATTGCGTAAATCACAGCCCTTCTTTCATTGGGATAGTTGAATTGCACCCCCTTCCACGAACCTCGTACTATTCAGGTGAGGAGTCGGGTGCAACTTTAAAATCTATCGACTGCGCCACTCACAGGAACGTTTTGCTGGTTGCGCAGTGATTTTCGCTGGAATCCCGGAACAGCGCTGCTAAAACGTTCCCAGGAGTTCACCACAAGGTGCAGCCGTGGATCGGAGCACACTTTCTACAGTGAAGTTTAGAGCAGTTCTCCCATCTCGGAAAAGTGGCAAGTTGCGTTTAGCAAGATTGTCTGTATTACACCACATCTCTAGTCATTGTTCTTCAGGCGCCCTTAATGGTTAATTTAGAATACCGCGTCGTTGTTTTAACCTAAGGATTTGACGTGAAGTGATTTACACTCGTCCGCATCAAAAAAAATTTGCGCGCTTTGAAGAAAATCGCTCTAGTTCATAAATAAATCTATTAAATGAAGTACCAATATTGCAAACCAAAGATCTTTGCTAAAGAAGTGCAATTTTCTAGTCCTATCAATGAGTAGGTATTCCGCTTTCAATTTCATGTGGAATTGAAAGTTAGGATTAAAACGACAGCAAAGAAAAACAATTATAACTATGAAATTCTAAACAATCTTGTTTTCCATTACAGTGAATCAGCAATCTTTCCTATAATCCTACCAAGTTCTGATCTCCTCATCTCCATCAATTACCGTCAAATTATCAGCAATCATCATCAAATTATCAGTAGTTGTTGACTAACGAGCCTAGCACTCTAAATGTCAACGTAACAAATTCGGCCAAAATGCCTCGCTTAGTGTTTTAGCTAGACTAACCATAAATAATCGTTTAGATTTTGGAATAATTTCAACTGCTCACATTATATTGCGAAATTACCTTTCAGAAAATTGAAGAAAGAGCTAAAGAATCTTACCGGCTTCCAAGAACTTTCTGAAACCAAAAGGAAACATAATATAGAACGAGAAACTGGTTACATTTCTATTTTCGAGCAGCTAACATCTTATGACTAGAGGTAAAATCGGAATCACTTTGCTTAACTGTGAAAGCCGTAGGACTAGAGAGAAATGAGTTTATGGTAAGTCTTCAAATGATTTTATATAACATAATGAAGTTACCTCGAAAAATAAAGACTTGCTGTTGATGATTTGGTAAACCAAATTAAACGGTTGTTGTTCCGATTGCAAATCAACGGCTGGAGGTATGATCCCACATAAATCTATTGACTTATTTCGAAAAAGTTTCTGAAAAACCCAAGGCAGTTTCCACAACTTAACATGAACATTACGCATCGAATTATATGGTCATTGGTGACTAGTTAGTTCATTATTCAATCATATCCATTTAAACCTTTTACCTCAATTACCAGACGCGCATACGCCGAGTTCCGGCTTGACGGACTCATCTCTTTCTCTTTGTTCAGAAGCATGCGACACACAGCCACTACATACTCATCAGCATACTTGTCTTGGTTGATAACACTGTCCTGTTCATTATGGTATGTGCTAGCGAAACTCGTCAATCCGACTAAGCTATCCATCTGCAAACAAGAGTAGACATCAGGTAGGCGGTGGTAATATCTTAAAAAGCGCTAATTCACGGAAACCACCCCATACATCGCCGAAGATGACAACATGTCTTGAAAATTTATTCAACAACGACATACAAACCACATACGTCAACTGTTTTCTTAAAAGACAACAGAATGGAGTGCCCCACTAAATCAATTAACTTTGTTCAGAGAACTTAAAAGACAAATATAATCATTTCGGCAATAAACGAAATAAGCTCTAAAATACAAAGTACAGAACATAACGTACGATCACCTACGATAAATAACTTTCTCTCGTCGCTCACGTTTTTTCATCTTCCTATCATCCGATTCGTCTCGACCGTCTGCCACTGGGGCAGTAATCCACGGCAAAAGGATGTTGACAAACACCTAAGGAACCCAGAAGATTTTCAGGCACCAAAAGATATTGGGTTTTGTTGAAAAGACTACGGCGTCCAAGCAGAAATGGAGTGAAAGTAAATGCTGACCTTGTACGCAGCAGCAGCAGGTATTGTCAGCAAGATCAAGTATGCATATAAGGAATAAAGGGCGACAATCTAAAAAAACAACTTCACTCTAACTTCCGACTAAAAAAATCACTAATACTGGAAACTGACACACCTGAGCAAAAACAGTTACAATTATGACGTCTTTACAGTACTCGCCAAATGCCGCTGGATCGTTCAAATCCATGCCAGCATCGGTCACCCTACCACGCTCATCAAACCGCGCTCCTTTAAATGAAACCAATCTGTCGAAGCCAGTCTTCCAACTTGAAAACACGGTACACCAACCTGCCATACTTCTCATAAGTCCCAGAACAATCAATTCAACTGCTACAGTTAACCAAAAGAAAATATACGCATTAGAGCTACAACTGATGAAGAAAAAGCATGCTCCTAAATGAACCACCTGAAATAACCTTTGTGAACATAAGGTTAACGAAAGGCAAACGCAGAACTGAAGACTTACAATCGTAACTAAACATGCTGTCCCGAAAGTGACCATGGTGTTCCTGTTAGCCTCATAAATTTCTTTTTGCCCTTTTGTTGCTACCTTTACCATTCTGTTCAAATATTACAGATGTACACATTTTGTTCAATTTAAAACAGAACAAAACCGCAGAATCAAGTTGGCAAAAGGCCTAGTGACAGAACACAACCGTAAGGAAAAATATTTTATCTTTTTTACTAAAAACGACCAATCTTCATCTAAACCGGCGCAGGAGTGATGGAAACTCATGGTGAATTGTAAATCACCGTACACGAAACCAGAATACCGCAGGAAATCATCATGGAACAAGTAAGCAATACAAAAGCAAAACATAGGAAGAAGGGAGGTACAAATGTATGAAAATGGGACATGCAGATAAGCACTGAAACACATAAAAATGGTAGAAAGGCGGTCGTTCTCAGTTGTTGTGAAGATCAAGACGGAAGATCTCGTTTCCAATAAAAAACGAACCCGTTGTATTTGGTCGCAGGATAAAAACTTGAGAGAATGTGTTAATTGGATCATCATCTGTCTAAATTTGCAGCTTACAAAATGAAAACTCTAGTGCATTACAAAGAAAAAAACTTTGCAAACCTTGAGTTGACCCAAGACCATAACGAGAATAGAACCGTCATAAAGCGGTTGCGAGTCACACTTAGTTATAGCCCGCTGAATTTGTTTGAACGTCAAACTCTGAAACCAAGATGACCAGGAAAGGTAGAAAATAACATCTAAGAAGGAAGAAAACAAAACCCCTGTCAGGATGTGGCAATGAGCAAATGGTGGGTTGAACTCATATTCCCTATCGATGGGAAAGCGTTACAAACAATAACAACATAACAAAGGTACGTTAAGAAACGTTCACACCAGTGCTTGAAAATTCAAGGCAGCGATTTCAAAAAGGCAAAAACGAAAACACGGCTAAGAGAAAGGCAAAACGAAGGATTGGCATGGTGTGGTGGTGAAGGCATTAGCCCCTGAAAGGGTAACAGCGGGTTCGATCCTAATCGCAGACACCTACGATCCGGAGTTTTGCAAATATCTTAGCATCATTACGATTACCCAGTATTCTATTGCGCATAATTTAATCGAAAAGCTTGGGAATTTAGTATGGAATGGGCTGGAAATTCCTTGAGACCATATTCAGAATAGAAAAAGGGTTTCCTTCATAGTGCACACAACTGAAGGGTCACGACAGAATGCTGTCTTGCTTCACTTACATTAGGCGAACTCTGAACTTGAAACGGTGTAACGGTTAGAAAGCCTTACAAATTTCAAAAGATACGTTTCTCCTCAAGGAATTTTCTTTCGAGACACACGTTAACAGGAGAAAACGATATGGTGAGCAATCAGTATCGAATCCTATACGCAGGAAATTTCTAACATTTTAACGCAAACCTTTACAAGTATTCCTCACGAAGCATAGCGGAGGTCTTCATGAAAAAATACAGTAGGAATTCCCACGACCGACTTTCTATTATCCTCGGCATTGATCAAATACTTATCGATATTCTTGTTGAGTAAACATGAGGTGTTACTTTATTTATTTCGTTAAGGTTGACATTTCAGCAGTATCACCTTCTTCAGAGCCTAGAAGGGTATGCTGAAACGTAAGCTTTAACGAAATAAATAATAAGGTAACACCTCGTGTTTGTTCAACAAGAATATCGAGAACTATTGGCACTAGGTTTCGAAGGCCGAAAATCATGAATGAACTGAAGTAGAACTTACGGTGAATTTGGCGAGGATGGCATCACGGCCTTTACATTGAGTACCTTCGAAACTCATATAGGAATTCTCCGGATCATATAGACCACCGAGCCCTTGAGCTCTAGCCATACCGTCTCCTTGGTCAAATTTCGAATAATAATGTTGTACAAACGCTGTCGCTATGTTTTCGTAATCAAGGTTGAAATTCATTCCGTACTGGTCCTTCCCTAAAACTAAGGTGTTCAGAATCTCAAGTTCACTAGTTGAAGAAGACACTTAAAGCGTTACGGCGATAAATCGTTGTAAAATGAGGCACGTCTTGTCAATGACCAATGAAAACTTCAAAACATTGAAGATAACTTTCAAAGCGACCGTCATTTAACCTCGATAGCAAAACAATCAACGCGTTTTAAATTGTTGATTTTACACGGGGTTAATAAAGTTATTTATTTCGGCTAACGTTTCGACGTCTTCGTCCTCATAAAAGCCGGTGACCGGAGCCAGTGGTCCTTCTTCATCAGAGCCGATGATCCGAGCTGGCTCTGATGAAGACGAACAGATCGAATCGTTAGCCAAAATAAATATCTTTATCAACCTTGTGTAAGCTCAACAATTTAAAAACAGTGAAGATAAATACACATCAAGCTTGCGAAGTCTAAGCATTGTCACACGTTTGACGGCTCTAAACTAAGGCTATACAATTCACTCCATATTTGCTAACTTCTCACACCTCTAAATGCTGCAGTACTATTTCATTTTGCAAACACATTTAAAAGCAACTCTGATGCATAGCACAAGTTATCCTATGTGATAAGCTCACAGACTCCAATAGAATGATTAGTTCTTTGATAGTCGAAACAAGAACTACCAAGGCCTTTGATGTTTCCGGGATAAACTTCGCTGAGAAACAACAGACTACGAGTGCTCAGGCAAAAAAACACAAAAAAGGAGCTGTTTGTGACCGACGGAACCTACGAAAACCTGTGGAACGCTAGGTTAGGCAGGTTCCACAGTCTATCCAAACAGCAGCAAGCGATTCAGAGTTCAAACGGAGCAGGAAAGGATCCATAACTCCTCATTCGTGGGAAAGCGAAATGACGACAACCCATTTGAAGGTTTAGTGAGAATTATAAGTACGTCCAAGCTTCCCGCTTAGTGCAACGCCGGTTGCAAAGCAGAAACCAACGAATATTCCAGCAACACTTATATCCGTGCAAGTAATTTTGTGCGTTGGATTGTCGTTCGCAAATTACTATGAACTCTCGTTATTAGGTTCTTAGTATAGTGCTATTGTTAACCGTTTTTTATTTTCGTGTTGTTACTTTGGCCATTCCTTGGAAATGCTTAGATTATGGGTCATGTTCTAGGCGTCCTTTATTGCTACCTTTCCCCTGATCTTTATTTCATCGCTTCAACTTCATAACAACTGTTTAGATTGACAAAGGGCCTCCATCAGAATGTATTGTGCACAGTGGTTAATCCCAGTCTTACTGATACCCAAGCACTGGCTGCATCCCCTCTTCTTGGTTGAACAAGCCCTGTTCATGTGGTTCTACATCATTGCGTTTTTCCTGGAACGCAGGTGAGGCTCTATCACTAACACAGTCAATATATTCACATGTGGTCGCTAGTGTTTCCAGACCATGCCACATATGTTCGGCCATATTCTTCATAGCGCTCGGTCTGCTTTGCTGGACTGATCCAGACACATGCATATTCTGGCCGACTTGCGACCGCAAGCTTAATGGAGAGGTGAGCTGTTGAGTTCCGTTTCTATCAAAGTCTTATTCCTGTTAACCTTATGCTTTGAAGGTTTGCTCATATGTATATAAGAATGAACTCGCTGGTCGAATATAATGTGATTCCGGACGTTCTTCGGAAGCGGTACTACCGGCCTTATGTGTGATACGGTTGCTCTACGGGCGTCTTGTGTGACAGTGTACTTATCTCACTATAACTTGTTCTTCATCGCTTTTTCGGTGCAACATCTATCCCTACATGTTCTCTTCATTGCAGGTTTTCATTTATTTCTGTTAGCTACTACCACTACTTTCTTTGTTCCACGATATATTACGAAGATCCAACACTGTCAAAAAATGAATTAAAGTCCTTTCCTCTCCTGTTCTCACAAACGTTCATCGTTTTTAAGGACAAACATGAGATCTGCAGGTGTGATCCGCAACTACAGAATAACAAATAGATTATTTATTAGACTTCTTCGAACAGCAATCAGAACCACTCTAAGAAAATATGGACTTAAATAATTCGTTTCGCGCTTCATTATTCCATTCAACCATTTCCGGCATTGCAGGATGGAAATTCACTAGTTTTGCAATTGGAAGATACCTAAAAAGTTTTTTTTAGAGATTTAGAAGAAACTACATACATGTGGGCCTCATAAATTAAATGTGTTGTAATGATATAGCAATGATGTGGTGATACTCTTCCAACAGTACACCGCCTCATCGTGGCTGCGAGGTGTTCCTGGTTGTCGGGTTGTGATGTACAGCGGGGAATTCTTCCACTCTCCCAAGCTGAGGAGTTCGGGGTTTCCATGAGGAACCCCAGCTACGAGTAAACCAATTCCAGGATCTACCACCGTCCTGGTATCAAACTACTAGTATGGTGGCAAATCGCCCTCTGATCCACAACGACGGTGAATGTCCGGAGTGGTGACGATCTGGGGCAAACCTTGGCCAGGCTGACCTCGGGATTCCAGGTCTAATTATCGAAGTAAATAGTGATACCAAATAATTTAGAACATATGATTACTTCTATATGTAGATAATACAAGATTACTTGATTTTCCTATCCTTGGAAGCACGATGATCAACAACTTTCTTGACAGCTCGTTTACTTCGTAGTTTCTGCATTTCAATGTAGTGTCTAGAAGAATGGCTTGCAGTCGCGTTCAGAGGTGATAATAAGGGGGTCATTACCTAGTCATAGCGACAGGATCACGAGTGTTACTAGTCTTCCTGTCTATCAATTCTTTAAGCAGCATTTGATAGAAATCATCGTCATCGTAGATTTCATCATCTTCTTCAGCCTGAACGTTGTAAGAGAGATAGCAGGTGTTAGAATGAAAAAGAATGTACAAGTTAATACCTCCACGGTTCCTCCTATCCTTTCAACATCCGACTTCTTAGTACGTGAACGTTTCAGCAATCGATCTTTATCAGCACAAATCTATGTGAAGATTACGGTACTACACAAAGTAAGAATTCGATATAATGCAGTTTATTAACGCTACATATTTTGATCTGATCTAGTATTTCTCTCTGTGAACAGGAGTTATAACATAACCTTCCCAAAAGTCATAACCTACCTTCTCTATTCGAGAGACGACGTTATTCTTCTCAAACGCTGAAAAATCACTATTTGGATTCTTAGAATGACCGGATACGATGAACTTTGTTCGCTCGTCCCATTTTAGTAGGGTTGAATCTCTGAAAAAAAAATCAAAGGAATTGTACTTATGAACGGAAAATTATTTCAACCAGGCCATAAACAGAATTACTGAAGACTTAGGAAAATACGAATAGGGAGTCTCAGCAGTTTATCCCACCTGAACTTCACAAATTGTTGCTCTTTTTCATGAAGGCGTTTACTCAATGATTTCAAATTTATGGATGGTGCATGTGGTGTATTCGTAACATGCTGCTCTTCCAGTCTCGGCTCTCTATAAAATGTTTAGACGCACGAAATAGCGGCCTTGCGGGTTTATTGCTGTTAATGTTGGATAGGTCTACTTATATAAACCTTACAATATAAAAAACCGACCCGGTTATGTTGCCATCATCGTTTTCATAACTACAATCATCTTGAAATTCTTCCTCGCCCTCACTACTTTCTATTTCTTCATTGTTGGAGTCTTCAGTTCCTAAAACTTTTCTATTAATAGGATATTGTCGTAGACATAACTAAACAGCCAGATCTTTAGTCCAACATATTCGTCACTCGATAAGATGCGCAAAAGGTGTAGTGTGAAAACCACACCTCCCTCACCTTCGACGGGTGACTTTGTAAGTGAAGACGAAAGAAGGTGTTCAGCTTCCAATAAGATCGAAGCTAGTTTAACAGCGTTCTTATGAGCTGTAAAAGAAAAGTAACACTGTGGTATACAGAAAACCTTGGTCAAATATATGACCTGCTCTGACATACTCGCGACTACATCCAATTTTGTATCACGCACGATTTGTGTTGAATCAAGCTCCAAAGCACGACTGAGAGCACAGACGTGCCACCACCACCTCAAAGGATTTTGTACTACCCCATTTGTTGAAATGAATAAAGAGTCGCTGGACTTATTCATTCGTATTTGTACAATAAAAAGTCCTAGCATTCTATAAAAACCAAGGTCTCGTCGCAAAGAGGCAGAGCCTCCTTTGTAAATTAATGTTTGGAAATAACTTCTCTCAAATCACATGGAGTACAGCTAGGTGGCAGAGAAGCCATTGAGTTGATGCAAGAAGACTGGAGTAAAATCACTGGTTCTACGTAAAATTCAGCAGAATCAGTGTGACCCGTCATGACCGCGTTAAGAGAAAGAGGTGAACATTGAAGCATAATAATAAATTGCTCATTGTAAAATAAACAGTACCATGCCTTAGACTAGTGACAACGTCTTCATTTGCTTCCTTGATGAGATTTCTTGCCAGTTGACCTCGAGGAAGTTGATTAAAAGCACGAAGGGCAGCATGTACTTTAATCTTTACATAGAGCAGTTGTTCCCAGATCCGTGTTTGCTCGTAAACAGACGCCGCTGAAAACTTCTATTTCAACTCACAAGACTTCGAACATTACTTCGAAAGGTGTGGAACAGATACGCAGTGCTACGCTAATAAGCTGGAAGATTTTAGGCTCTTGGTACTGTTTGTAGTAACAAACCCTTCCTCTGTTGTTTGTCTTTGTCAATATTGTTCATAAGACTATTAATAGTCGTTGGATCTTCTTCGGCGGGGTTTTGAGAATCCTGCCCTTCATCTTCATCGTCACTGCTACCCAAATCACTAACGCTGTTGTCAACGCCACTGTCCGAAGCACTCTGTAATATCCCTAATTTACAACAGTCTGCAAAAAGCATTGAAAAAACCATCAAAAGCTACTTAAAAAGAAAATACAGTAAGCGCCAAAGTTGTTAGTACCTGATCATCGACAAACTCGTCATCTTCACCGATCATAAAATCTTCGTTAACGTCAGACAACTCTTCATCATTTTTTTTCCTACGGCCAATTCCTTTCTGGCCCTTATCGTCCACGTCTTTTGTCAAAAATCTACCGCGAACACCTTGAAGAAAACAAAGTCATCAAAACATTCCAAAATGGACGGCAGTCACATAAAAAATACTACATAACTAATTCAAGGCTCAAGTAGAGAAACAATCTCTTCCAAAGAAAAAATATTGCTTTGCACCTCTTTAACAGATACGACCAGACAATGGCTTTTCTATAAATACCGACAGGTCTTCGACAACTAGAGGACTTAAGAGGTTAAGAAGTTGACAGATCTACACTTGGATACTTAGAAACTTGGATTGCCCGTCTTCACTAGTTGTGCAGGGCTCAGTATAAATTTTTTCGGAGTTTTGCCGGTTTAGCCAATGTGGTTCTCTGGAGTCTCATGACTGGCCTCGCCAAAGTCTGCCACAGCTCGTCCGTCACCACCACAGGCAGACGCCGTCCTTGTGGTTCAGAGGGAGATTTGCCACCACGCGACTACTTTGATACCAGATCGGTGGTGGATCCTGGTATAGGTTTAATATTAGCTGGGCTTCCTAATGGAAACACCGGACTCCTCAGCTTAGGAGACCTTGCTGGGGGGATGAACCTCTCCGCTGTACATCGCAGCCCAATATCCAGTAACATCTCTCAGCCACGATGAGGCGGTAACCCTTGCGAAGTGACAGACTTATAAGAACGTTGCCCCCAATCGCTTTGATGACACAAATACTTTCCTATCACGTAACGTTTTGCTCTTAAATTCGCTTTAGACCAAAACTTCCCAAAAGATCAAGAGTGGATTCAAACCCTTAAAGTTCTTAAGTGCAAGCTTACACTCGCAACCATCAGCTTTATTCGAGAACCTCACTCAGTAGTGTTGGATGAAATTCAACGTGTTTAATTGATTTGCTGTTTAAAATAAAGTTCGGACAAAAAAAATGTATATGCTCCAAAGATCAAACTTTCGCCTTGGTAAAGCGGGAAAGACTGCAACATTTTGAAAAAGCATGAAGATTCTATTGACCTTTACTTCAATTACATTCACTATGAGCTCAAACATGTTTGTTTAATAAAGTTTCATGCTTTAGTGTTTACATTAAACACAATCTTAAAGTTCGTTTCAAACGCGGTGATTAGTGAAGCCGTCCAATACACTCAATGTCTCAGGTCCGATCCCTCCCTAAGCCAATTAGACACCAAATGTTCTTTGAACATAGCAGGAAAACTGAAATAAAGTCCCGTTCTCGAGCTCCAGAAACGTGAGCTTCTACTTAACCTCAATGATGTAGACCGATGTTATGACTCCTATCTCCAATCTAAGCTGATATTTCGATTAATCTAATCGATAACAAGCTGATATATAAGCATTTAGGGCTGAAAAAACGATTTCCAGATAACTTCAATGTCAGCTGTATGCCTTTTCAACACCTAATCGAGTGCCTTTTAAACCAAAAAGAATGCTGCTTCGGTATGTCCGATACGAAGCCCTATTACTAAGAATATGAAGAGGTCTGAAGACGGAATTTACGACACGAATAAAGAGATCTAATCAATTGGTTGGGGACAATACCTAACCAACTGGGTCAATGCACCATACTTAGAACTGTGCTGAGTTAAGGTAAGGAATTTCATCATGAAATAAGTTGCTTGAGAAAAGCCAACTACTGGATAGGAAATAGATATTTCTCTTACAACTGCCATTACCTTCATCTACACCAGCATCGTTACTGTCTTTTTCTCCTAAAGTAGAACGATCGGCAAGGCCTACCAAATCAGAACGCTCAAAGATATCGTCTCGTGACACCTGAGTTCAGTTCTGCAGTGAATTGACAAGGACAAAATCGGAAACACGGTTGAATTAAAAGCGTACTTTTGTGCCGCCATATTTCGAACTATTGTCCGTGGATAAATCAATAGTTTTTTTTCTAGGTTTCAGAACATCCTGATCTCCACCATGTTTCTTTCCAAAAACCGTGCCCGACGCAGTTCCTGTGCAGCAAGAAAAGTTTTCAATCTGCCATTCACAGAATGAACACCAAGGATACCTTGGGAATATCAACATACCATCTACGTCATCGTCTTCTAAATCTGGTAAATCAAAAACTGGCTTCGTAAGTTCCTCTAAATCCTTGAGAAGCGGCATTCTGAACACTTCATAGGTGGATAGTAAGACGGTAACGATGTCGATTTAACAAAAGAAGAAAGAAAAAAACACTATTCCACAGATCTGAATGAATTAAAGGATAAAGTCGAAAATGAAATAAGTTGAAAAGTAATAAAATAGTGACGACGTTCCGTACTCAAGCTCCCATCGCTAGCAGATTAGCTCGTACTCTGACGTGACGTAATCTTTAAAGATTGCACAACATGTCTGTAATCATTCGCATTCCCATTGTGGCTATATAAACTGCACATTAAGTGTGTTGCTGCTTCTGATTTCTTACTCTGCTTCTCATAAAGTTCCTCTGTCCTCACAATCTGTTGGTTATGGCATCCATAAATGTGGAACTATCGCTCATTGTGAAGAGCGCGTGTGGCGCAGTGGTCAGAGGAGCTCTGCGATACATACTCGTCCATAGCCCACCAAGCCTTCTATACCTCCGGGGTCGGCAAATTGGTACCAAACTTGTCTGGGAGGATAACAGCACTGGCGCTATGCTTCAGTAGGCCACCGTGAGTCATTGTGAAAGCTAGATATGCATTCAGACACCTCCAACGATGCTCAATGAAGTCGAATGCATGGCGCATCCCTTAGGGAATCGATCAGCGCCGAGAGCTTTATCCTTTTTTTATCACTCATCTGTGGGATTGCTTTAAGAACATGGCGTGACACTCTTATTGCTGTTTGTTTGTTGATATGAAAATCCTCCGAATATGCGTTATAGAGAAGTTCTGCATAGGAGTTTAAAACCATGTGGCTTTTTTGTTTTAACTCTTTACTCTGCAGTATTTGACTTCCTAAAATGGCGCTTCGTATGGATTATGAAGGAAGCAATGACGTTGGAGTGTTTTGTAATTTGACAAACAGCTACTGTCTTGTAGGAATTGGAGGAACTCAAAATTTTTACAGGTACAGCTTCAGATTCTAATGCAATCATTCTTTTGCCAGATGATGTGCGAATCATCTCTTTGATGGCTCTCTCTGTTGTCTCCGTCTCTGCGTCTTCGGTGTCTCTTTCTGTTGCCTCTGTCTCTGTATCTTTGGTGTCTCTCTGTGTTCTTGGGTTGTTACTCATCTCTATTGTAGCTCTGTCGAAGCTGAGCTTGCCGATGTCATTCCTGTTGTTCACACATCCGTTTCGTCCACACGCATAGTGGGACGGGTTACAGTAGGTGATTTTCAAAGGTGGCCAGCTCTTCATGTCAGTCCTCTACGTTTAATTACTTATTTAGGAAATCGAAACGGCTTACTGGTTCCTAGCGGAACTACTGATCAGGAGTTGCAACACTTGAGGAACTCTTTGCCAGATGAGGTTCGTAAACCCACACTAGTAGAACTGTTTCAGGAATTTCTTTTTCCGTTTTGATGATGCGAAAGTGGTTGTAATTTCTAGGTGAAAATACGACGAGTGGACGAACGTCTCTCAGCTCTAGGAAATGTGATAGCATGTAATGATCATGTTGCTATTGCCCACCCTGAAATAAGTGAGGAAACCGAGAGTGCTCTTGTGGATACACTTAACGTCGAGGTATTCCGTGTCAGCCTTGGACAAAATGTGTTAGTAAGTTTCATTATCTCACAGTCTTCCTCGACTGGCAATTCTTTCATTTTTCCAATGCACATTATTTCGCTTGGCGTGCGGCATGTGGCGCAGTGGTCGAAACCCCCTACCACACATACGGGACCGATCCCCACAGTCCTGGCCCACGAAGCCTTCCATCCTTCCAGGGTCGACAAATTGGTACCGAGGCTTATCTAGAAGGATAGCAGCACTGGCTCGATACGTGGACAGGCTGCCGCAGATCATTGTAACGGCCAGATATGCATTTAGTTATCTCCAAACCGACACTTAACGAAGTCAAATGCTTGGTGTAACTAGCCTCTTCAATTTTCTGTTCCAGCGAACTGTCTTTAATGGGTTGACACGAGATTTCTGCTGCCCTCTGATCACGGTTTGGGCAATTTCGTGTTTTCTTGAAGGGCACGTAATCATACGTTAACAACCTTGAATCATCTCATCAAGAAAATTCTATGAACTTATAATAACTTGCTTATCAGTGGGAGATCAATTGAAGGTCGCTGTTTCGGATCAATCCGATTTTCGTTACTGTTTTGTTCTTATGCCTTGTATTTGAGATTCATTAATCCTCGTAGTTTTTGTCAATGTTTATGGGTGTATCTATTCTTTTAAGTTGTCATATATTGTGTTTTCAACTTTCATGCGCTCTCCACATAACAACTACAGGAGACTTTGCACATAAAATTTAGTAAGAACGGACAACTTGACTAGCAATGTATCACTAAAGAAATCTCCCTGACAATTTAGAATAAGCGAATCCTTTGCGCTATAATTTTTCTTAGAGGTGGTCTGTTAACAAATTACTTATTTGGAGGGTTGATAACGGTGATGTACTGACCGCGCGTGACTTCCACTGCCGTATTGTCTCGTCCAGTTTTTGCAAAATGGTCTTGAGAGTAATGAATGTCCTAATATTCTCTTAATCAGTACTGGTAAAAATTTCTATTGTGACCGCTGTTTCGACCATGTCGCCGTTTCAATTCTACGCTAAATTGAGCGTACATTGACATCGTTTAAGTCTGTGAATGACCAGTGTTAAACCGAGCTTAAATGGAAATCGTACTGTACTTATTTATATGTTCTTACGAATTACTCTTGTTGAGCTCATGCGAGGTTGGTACAAGTTGTCGTTGTTGTTGTTGTTGTTGTTGTTGTTGTTGTTGTTCAATGGATGACGTTTGACGGGTGATTGCTGATAGCAGCTGTAGATTAAGAAGACGGCTTAGAGATAGTCGAAACAAAGGACCCGCATGGCGTTGTGGTGAACGCGTTATCCTCTGAAAAGGGTAATAGCACGTTCGATCCCCACCGCAGACAGCTACGGTCTGGAGTTTCGCAAATATCTCAGTGTCATTGTGGCTATAATAGCTTTCTAATTCGGTGAAATACCTAAAGTACTAATAAAAATCTAAGATATAAACGACAACCACTTTGTTTAAACACGTGTCCCACTCGTAACAGCAAGACTCTGAGTAAGGCGAAATCGCTGACACATGAGCCATCGAACAACAACAACAACAACAACGACAATTTGTACCGGCCTCGCGTCAGCTCAACAAGAACAGTTCGTAAGAACGTATAAATATGTCAATTATTTATGCCGAGGTTTACGGAAAGTTAACCTTTTGAGTTGTTGAGAGTTGTTAAGTGACAAATAGTTTGGGCCGGACGATGTTGCCTTTGTCGTCGGTCAGTCGCAAAATTTCCGTTGTGAAAATGTGCACAGTTCACTAATTTTCTTTATGAGTAGGTTTACCTTGATTCGGTAGGTATTCTTTAAACCACTTGTACGCTAATAGAACCAAAGTGTTTTCCGTAGGGGTGAGACATTGAGGCACTGCTGCTAAACTTCAGTGTTTTGTGATAGTTTGGATACCATCGATCTTGACTAAGATTTTTCCATTTTTTGCGTTTCTCCTTAGCTTTGTCATACGCATACTGATCAGGCAGATTCGGTGGAATGTCCACTCTTGGAAGTCTTTGTTCTTGGGCGACTTTGCTGTACATATGTAAGCTTCAACGTGTACCTGTACTAAATCTTTTAAGTTTTGCTTTAGGACAGTGTGTTATACTATTCACAACGGATGTTGCTCCTCCGTCAAGTTTATTCTTATAGAAAGTATTTTGTAAGCAGTGAAAATAATCTTGATAAGAACTTCTGAATAAAATGCTTCTTGATATGATTTGCTTTACACGTACGCAGCACCTGTCCAGTTAGTACCTGTCTTAGCGGCACTGAGGTGAGGTCATTAATGACTTTAGTCTTTCCACTCATTACTTGTTTCATTTATGATTTCCTTTTACATGGGTAGGCGTTACATCTACTGTGCAGGTGCTAACACTTCTTGTATTGGATTCGTCTCCTCGCATCCATTATCCACGAAGACCTTCCAACTTTTGCATGTGGTTTCGACTGCTGCTTGAGGATTTTCGTGTTTGTTGTGAATGTCGTTGAATGCTGGTGGAATCTATTCTCCCTGAAGTCCAAGTGTAGCCGTATTAGTGCGTTCGCACATGGATTTGAAGGAGTGGGCTGATCGCAGGCAAATGCGGTACCGATATCACGAACCCGAAGGAGTAAGAGGGTTGATGAGCGTGGGGCTGGGTCGAACAATGCTACATTCATCGTTGTGCCACGCTTAATCCTTATATCGTTGATGAATTGGTAGTCCTCTCGTTCTCGAATGGCAGACCATTCACCTACCCATAAAGATCTACCCATCACCTCTCACCTGTATCACCTGAAGTCCCGTTGTTCGTCGAGTGACTCGAGCGAGCGCCAGTAAATCTTCCGTTTTCCCCGTCGCGTGCATGAGTAGCCCAGTGGGTTCTGCTCGCTCTAGGGACTCGTTAAGCATCATATCGTTCTTCTAGGCTCTTCGTGAAGAACTCTCACCATCGGGTCGGTGGTTTTCCTGCAGTACGTTTGATATCCCGAGGAATCCAGTCACTAACGGCTCTTGTCCATCGGTTCTCATTCATACGCATCACGTGTCTGGCCCACCTTCGACTGTGTAGCGTACAGAACAGTATCTCTGACTTTTGACCGCTGATGCAGAATGGAGATCCCATCCCTTACTTGTGTGGAACGGGATACTCCTAGCATCGTCCTTTCGACTGCGCGTTCGATAACGCTCAATGACCTTTCATGCTGCTTACGCAGCGACCAGGTTTCTGACGCGTACGCTAGGGCAGGAAGTACCGTTGAGTCGAAAAGGTGGGCACGGAATCGGATGTTTTTCTCCTCTTCACTGCATCCTCGATACTCTTGGAAGCTGCAATGACTGTACTTTTCTTTTTGCTCAGTTCTGGAGCTAAGTCCTTTATCATATTGGTTTGCCAGCCTAGATGGACGTCACTGGAGCATTCGAAGATATTAATTCCGTTGAGTGTGAATGGGGCATACGAAACCAATCCGTTCTTCATAAACATCGTTTTTGTGAGAATTAGTCGATGACCAATCTTTCTATAGGCTTTATCAAAGTCGGCAAGAATTCGTTCCGCTTGGCTAGTGTTCGGTGCTATAAGGACGATGTCATCAGCAAAGCGAAGATGATGTAACTGCCGACCATCGATTTTCACTGCCGTATTATGCTATTCCAATGTTCGCATGGCGTTCTGGAGGGTGGCGGTGAATAATTTTGGCGAGATGGTATCGCATTGCCTAACTCCTTTTTTGACGTCAATGTTAATATCGTTGTTGAATGGTGATGCCTTAGTTGTGAAATTTTTGTACAGGTCACGGAGAATCTTTATGTACTGAGTAGGGACTCCTTGGCTGTCAAGGGCTTCCAAGACTGCTTCTATCTCATCTGACTCAAAGGCCTTCTGTAAATCGATGAAAGTGAAACAGAGCGGTCTTTTGTATTCTCGCGATACTTCAATGAGCCGTGTTACCGTGTGGATGTGGCCCATCGTACTAAATCCTCTTCGAAACACTGCTTGATCGCATGGTTGTCCTTCGTCTGGTGTTCTGTCAATCCCGTTTAGGTTGAGTCCAGTGGAAAGTTTGTAGACGACGGACAGTAGGCAGATTGGGCGGTAGTTGCCGATATCGTGTAGGTCACCCTTCTTGAACAATAACACGGTCTTGCTGGTCTTCCATTGAGTAGTAACCTTNGGAAAACCAGTGGTACAACGTTTCCATCCTTCATTTCATATCACGGAAGGTGCACGTGGCTATCGAAGAGATCCGAGTACTATTCGTGAATGATTTTCTCCATTGCCTTTCTGGACGCTGTAACTATTCCGTCTAGGCACCGGAGTGCAATCATCTTGGTCTTGTAATTGTCGAAACATTGGCGAACTTTGCGAATGCTTTTCCCAGCCTCTGCAGCTTCAGCCATTTCTGCTGCTCTTCTCTCTTTAAGATCTTGTTTTATCGCCTGTCTGCATTGTTTTGCAAGTTCGGACGTTAGTTCGAGGTTGCCTGCAGCTCGTGCGATTTCACGCTGGCGTATCAGCTCGAGTGTTTCTGAAGACAAACGTCACTTGGTTACTTTCGAACTCTGACCTTTCATAGCGCCAACGTGAAGTTGTTGAATGAGGCGACCATATTCCTCGTCGATGTTATCAGCAACGGCATCTCCCCAACAGCCGACTAATGAATTGAATAAGTCCCAGTATGCGATGGTTCTGGGACTTCGGTTTTTGAATTTAGCGGCTTTTTTCCTTTTCGCGAGAAATGGAATCTTACAGGAAGGAGACGGTGGTATGATTCCGTGTAGAAGTTTGGGACAGCAGCGACATCGGTTAGGCAAAACCTTCTGTTTACTATGATGTGGTCTATTTCATTATGGGTACTCTCCAGTGGGAGACTCCCGCATCCAGTGCTGAGGGTGGTGCTTCTCGTATTGCGAGTTACCATGGATTGTCTTGGTCGCCATGATAAACTCAGCCGCTCACCTAGTCGTTCCATTCTAATCCGTGGGTCCCGATGTGACGTTCTCCAGGCGTTCTTCTTGGTCCAATCTTGGCGTTGAAACTTCCAATGATGACCTTGAAGAATGGATGGTTTTCTCTGTAGAACTTTCCAAGTCCATATAGAACGGTTCGACTTCTTCTCCGTCATAGTTCGATGTCGGCGCGTAAACGATGAAGATTGTCAAAGCCGGTATTGATCCACATCTTTTTAATCGTAAACGTCCGATTCGAGTTGTGAGTTGTTCGAATGAATCGATGTTCATGGACGAACTCGTGTTGAAAAGACCTCTACTGTCGCATGTTTCGAGGAACAGTTCTTCTCCGGTGTTATAGACGGCGTTGAGTGGGTGGTGTCCTCTTGTCTCGTCCAGGCCGATGACGCCGTACCTTATACTTCTTGCTTGCATTAGCCAATCTTCTATTGAGGACTCGAATGCAAGTGTACGTGCATTGTAGGTACAGATCGTCACCATAGTTCGTGATCCAGACAGATTCTATTGGGTCTGAGGTTTTAGCAGCCTCTCCATACTCGGCCTACCGAAATCTGCGAAATTGGGGCTCTTTCGGGGTCAGGGGAATTAGGCCCTTTTTTTTACTGTGTTTAGCATTTTGACACCCGCGTATAGTTCGATGGGTTCTGAACATGAAGGCTATGTATACCCACTAGTAGCTTGCCAGGCTCTCTCAGAGTGGACATGGAGCTTACAAGAAAGCCCCCACACACGCATGCATGAATAGGCCTAGCAAATACAGAAAGTATGTGCCAAATTAATGCAACAGAAACAGGTAGTCCATCTCCTGGATCCTCCTGCGTCTCGGGGAAGCAAAGATCGCTTTTTGTCCGCGATTAACCGGCTCGAGATCCCTCATATGAGGGAGATCCGTGGAGGATCTACCCATATCGTTTGAAATGTATTAAACGGCTGGGTGGACATGAAGTTTGGAGGCCGTATTATGTCATACGTTTGGTCGTTTATGCAGATAGTAATGAGCCTAATTCTGAAGGGTTGCTCGGGGTGGAAATTAATCTTAAAATCGGTAGCTGTCTGAACATTAACACATGGCAGAGTTTTTGATAATTATCAATGATCGTTTCTTTTACTTGAGTAACTGAGGAGCTGAGAACTTCACAGACTTACAGAAGATGTTTTTCGCTTTAAGGATGTATGTGATCTTCACGATTTTTGCAGCAACTTTTTTTCCCATTTCTTCGTTTTTGCAGGCGTTTGCGATTAAAGTTTACAAAAAGGAATTGGAGGCGATTTTTGAGTTCCTAAAGTTTTTTTAAAAACGCTTAAGCTCGGTATGACTGATCACCCACCATGTGTTTAAATTGTTGAGCTTACTTGATGTCGTTATTTGGAACGTTTATACTGAACAAAATCCTATGCATGCATGTCAGGCAGGCTTAAGAAGACCCGACAAAAGACTATAGACTGTTTGTCGAAAGACTTAAAACTTATGTCGATATCCAAAAAGAAGGTTAAATTTCTCCATTACCACTAAGGAGTTGCTTGAGAAGAGAGGAAAACGGAAGCATGATCTTATTGCAACGGACTTACAAAGGCTGATAATAGATACCAGGTGAAGAAAATGTTTGAATGATGGGTTACATCGGTATAGGCAGAGGAAACTCTTAGAAGCAGCGGAGAAATAACCAGTCTGAAGAAATTTTGTCGGAACCTTTGCGAATATGTTTATTCGGTGAAAGCTTTAATGAACGAAAATGGGATCACAGTTACCTTTCGCCATGATGTGGAATTGACAACAAAAACGTTCCACACTTTTCCGTTCCAGTATCATTGTCCATTATACATACCTCCGCTGAAGAAAGCCGTCCGGATCGCCTCCTTCCAGTGTTCGAATTGTGATAGAAAACATGGAAATAAGCACTGCACCATGACCCAATAACATCATCGCCGACTTTCCTATGTTGGCAGCCACCATCTTTATGTACTTTTTGCTTACTTTGACGCGTTCTGTATTTTACTGTTTTTGATCATTGACTTCTCCAGCGATGCAGGTTGTGATGTAATGTTTGTTTGAGACAACAATTAATGTAGCTTTTCTTGTAACATTAGATAATGAATCCCATAGTTCCTGCTTTATCAAAACTAACATCCATTCCATGTACACCACTAAAGTTTGACTGAGTTTGTGAAATACGTTTACGTTTCCTTTCACAATACAAATGATTTCTAGGTAGGATCATATTGCGCTCTTTCATCACAAGGATGTCTCGTGGCTGCTAGCACACCTCCAGAGACTCAGCGAGAATTGGCAGCGTTGTTACAAGTTCCCGTTGTTGCGGGTACTGTAAATCGCGGATCGGAACTGATAGGTGCCGGGATGTGTGTGAATGATTGGGTAGCTTTTTGTGGTATGTTGCAGTTCCGTAATTTTTAACACATAAGTATTCACGTCCATTTTTGTGTGAAGGCTACATGGCACTACTCCCAATTTTTGCTGCGAGCAGTGCCCATTGAAAAATTCGTTCGGAAAAGGTTCCCTGTAAATTAATTACTAAACGTAGAGAATATCCTTCATGAATTACGTCTAGCAGAAGATACGTTGTACGAGCTATCGTTTGAATGCGAAAAGGGTAGGAAATAAACTCATTGCGGCAAAGTAAATTGTTGGAAGAGTATGTGTTGAAATCAATACGAATGGTCCACTTTATCTGCTCATGCATAGTATCAACGTATACGGTCGTTCATGTGTTAGAAGTGCTCCTGATATTATTGTGAATAGTTTTATGGGCACTGTGCACCATGAGACGGCACTCAGTTCTTTTCCACCGAAGAGTGCGCCGAAATCCCTGCGTATTCTCCGTTATGTCACGTAAAAAACGATAGTTTCCTTCATAATTTAGAAACACCATTTATATTGGCACATATAGCAATTACTGTCAGTGGGGCTCCTGTTTCAAAAACGTGGTAGTACTTTATTCTAAGCTGTGATACTACAACATGCTAAGACATGATGATACTCCTCCTCAGTGGTACTCTCACCAGCGGAGGTATTCTTGTATCCTTTTTACCAGCTGCAGTATCTGTGGTTTGAGGAATAAACTCCCACAAAAAGCATTTTTTTCTCAAAATTGTCAAATGCGTGGAATGCAGCTTTTTTAGGACCATGTGTGCCATAATAATTGTGTGAAGGTGGCTATCGACTAGATAGTAAGCATAGCCAAAGAACTTTGTACGACAAACTGCTGAAACGTAGAAATCAATGGATACTTAACCATTTTTATTTACTGCCCATTCTTTTTAACGGCAAGGTATTTTTGCGAAATATAACTATTATAATGCTGAGATATTTGCAAAACTCCGGACCGCAGGTGCTTGCGGTGGGGAACGAACGCTATTGTCCTTTCCAGGGAGTAGCGCGTTCACCACCACACCATGCGAGGAAAGGTCATAGCAGTTAACTCATTTGTAGCTGTGTGGAGACTATGGTTCTTCGTTTCGCCTTTCGAGAGTGGATATCAATGGATACTGTTTCCATGAGATTAAACAAGCTTTTGATTGTTGTCCAGTGAAATGTTGGGCTTCATTTGTCAGAGTTTTTTTTCGCTATTTGTCACATCTTTAATCGCTTTACTCATTTGAGTTTTAGGGTTGGTTACTACCTCTACTGAACTCTCGGTAGTGGAGTCGATTTTCAAGCTAGGCGATCAAGGGCAACCGGCTGCAATTAGCACACAATTAAGAGATACTCTTATAGAAAGTTTGCTATAATTTTCTATGATCTATGGTGTCTCACTTTTTTAATGCCGTTTGTAACTGATTGGTTTGTTGATGACAAAATGTTGGCAGTTCTAGTGCTATATGTGTTTGCTGTATTTAGCAGATATATGAAGACTGTCCTCATGATAAAGAAAGTTGTGTCTACTTTAACCGCGTTGTATATGGGACATTTTTATCCATATATCATATTCCATTGTCTTTAGCACAGCGTGGGTGCGTAGAACGGTTTTTTTTCCATAGTGGTGAACGAAAGTTGCGAGTGGTCAATAAGGCATGGTAAACCCATGAGTGCACACGTTCTCTTATCAGTGATTGCAGTCTAGAGTACACTATAGTCTTGTCACTGGTGACATTATGGTGTCGTCTACGTGGTGATCGTTCCCCATTTGGCCGCCCGGTCTTCCCAAATGGCCTATTTTCGGGAATATTTGGACGCGCTGGCCAGTGTTCTGAATACCTATGCTGGAAGAGACAAAGCGCTAAGGTCGGTCAGTTTTATGCTTGCTTTGAAAGCTCAGTCATCCACTCGGAAAGAGGTGGTGTTAGCACTGGCCAAGCAGTGCTCATCCGCACGCCTTGTATTGAGGCAATTCAATCATCCTTCGATGATCAAGTGTTGTTGGGATCTTCTCTCGACACAGCCAGCGGATGATTTGGAGTATTTCTGTGCAACAGCGGGGACCAGCGCATATACGATCTACGGTGTTGTGGAGCTTTTGGCCTGGCTTTCTGACGCACATATTCTAGCATTGGATTCAGCACGACTCTGGAGGTGGTGTTTGTACCTTTGGATCACTGCGCTGTTATCTGGAATCATACGCCAAATGCGTCTTATTTCAAAGAAAGGTCTGGAGATAGATAAAGAGTTATTAACATTGATTGGCCTTGTTAGTGACTTCATAGTGGCTGTACATTCTCTTCCTCATAAGGTTTTGTGGTCTGGTAAGCTTTCCCCTAGGCATAGTGCAACGTTCTCGCTCGTTGCTTCTCTTATTGGATTGTATAAAACTTTTTAACTATCATTCAAGTTTTCTATTTGTGACCACATTACGTAATACCATGAGGTTTCTTAAGGATACTTTTCTATGTTGATTTGTCTCCACCTATCCTCAAAAGCCGATCCGTGATAACTACTGCACTGTTGTTACTGTTCCATTAAGACTACTTAGAACAAGGTTTTTGTAGTACTCCTTGTGCACTGTTTTAACGCCACGAAGAGTTTAATCTTCAAGTTTCGAACGTGTCATTCCTGGTCCATTATCTTTTTTCAATGATTATGTTGTTCATTTAGTATGAGATGGTCATATGAAGCTTTTACTCAGTTCTTCGGTCTATGTGTTCCTTCATTTCTGTTCCGCATAACTTTGTAGTGTACATTTTCCTTGTATATTTTGCCAGTATTTTTATTCCTAGTCCAGAAATGTACTATTCGTGCTGTTTTCCTTCTTTTGACTACACACTATGAAAATGAAAGTCAAAACAAAGCACCGAGCTAATTCTTATACGAAACCAAACTTGAAATTGGAGAAATGGTCTATATCGTTAACGAACATAGGATAAAAAGTTTGTTTGAAAGGCATTGTGGTCGCTTGACTAAAGCTATCACGAAGAGGAGAGTCCCGGATAACCGGATGGCGATTTCAGTGAAGTTCATGTACCACTACAGAGTAGATGTTCATTGAAGCAGGTCGATGGTTTGTTTAGAACATGGCGAAGCGAACCATTTCGGAACACCTTAATCGTCATTGGCATGAACTGAACGACTAGTAATAGGATCGCGGTTGTAAATGAAAACGAACTGTTGAGGTTGTTTGATGAGCGCTGGCTTCTTTGAAAGGTTCGAGTGTAGTCCATGATGCTCTCCTTCTCCATGACAATTCCTCTTTCATATTCTTTCCCACGTCCATGGAACGCCTGGAGAATAATGTATGGGATGTGGTCCATGTAATTTGAGAACCGCCCAGCTCAATTTCCTTACCTTTATGTCATTTGCTTTTCAAAAACTCAGCATTTTGTGCTGCTCACGATATTTTCAAAACGGCAGTATAATTGTGAAGTTCTGAAGCAGTCCTGAAAGTGATGTAACGTAGAAAAGAAGTTACAATGCCGTCTCACCTCTCATTTACAGACGGGATAACCCACCATCACTGAAAGAAGCAATTGCACCCGGGATGAATTATCTGAAGTCAGACCAAATGAACACACTGTGGAGACATTTTCGGTCAGCACTGACGTACTACTGCACTGCCATTAAGCTGGTCCTATACAAATGCTGGTTAAGAAGCTGATTGAGTTAGTGTACAAAGCCCGCCACATCCAAATCCTATAGTTCAAATAGTTAGAGGGATTTCTTCGACGAGAAAACGATTCATTAATGAAGTGACATTCAAAGAGGTCTTCGATGACGTTCTCGACTCCAAAGGTTTGGACCTGCACAGAGAAGGGACGCATCAGCTAAAGCACTGGCAGAAGTGTATGCATTAGTCTCAGGGGATATCAGCTCGGTAGAGTTTTAAGGAAAAACTTTTGAAGCATTGTAGACTTCCCGTTCGAAATCGCCTAACATTATACTCGTAGGTTACTAGAATATCTTATAAGTAGTAAAAGAAAAATGCTCTTTTCTAGGAATGTGACGGAGAATTTCGACCAGATAGCAGATCGATAGCACGGTTGCCGGATTCTGACCATAAAACTAGGTAAGCGAAGCACTAAACCCTCTTTCGTTCGTCTTCCTGGATTCTCATGAAGTGTACACTTTGGGAGAATCCCGGATAATGTTTCGATGCGATCCATAGATAAATGCTGGCCTGCAGTGGTTTTCCACGTGGACGCTGCTCCGTAGGCGATTGGTTGTTCAGACCATTCCTCTGGCAGGAATCATAACCCAATGTTTCAGTTTTCCTAGTATTCCTTTCGCAATAGAAGTTCACCCGAAGACCCGCCACTCAGTTATTGATTAGCCGATTAATGATTGATGACCGATGATCATTGATTTTCTCCCTGGCTCAACTTACAAGTGAATTTTTCGAAACCGTTGATTATTTGTACGTGCTAATATCTTCGTAAATAAGTAAATGTTTAAGTGGATAACTGACAAAGTTTTCCTAACGTTGTTATGTCATTGGTGAGCTCTGTCTCCTGGCTTAGGCTTTTTACCTTCGTTTTGAACGAGAAAAGCGAGAACAGAAACCTGTCTGAAATGCATTCACGACCGAACGCGGTCCCCCATTTGGGAATCAGAGGTACTATGAGGAATGAGCTAAAGAAACAGGAATTACTTGTCTGGTCAAGTAGTGTTCTAGTTTTGAAAAAATCGATCAGAAATGTCTCTGTGGTTATCGGCGTCGTAAGAAAGGTCTTTTGATGGGGAGCAGTACTTCTTCTATCACTTGAATTACCGTTAATCATCAAGTAAATTCTATGGACTTCCACTGTTCAATGGGTTTCCCACATTCTCTGTGGGATCGTCTATTCTTCCCGATGAAGTAGACTCTTTGGTAACTTAGAGAGCTCTGCAGTGGTGTGTACTTCTACCCGGATTTCCTGTTGGGAATGTTGGAGAAACGAACATTGTAGGGTAGGGAATGAAAACCACTTACAGTCACTTCCATGATGCTTTCTTTTTCTGATAGTTTCATTATTTAAGCATAGAAAAAATATAGCCCACATTGACGTGCTGACACTAAATGGAGCTAAAAGGCTTGTAGAAAGTAGATCAGGTATACTTTCAGATACTTTTGCTTAGCCCTATCTCTAAAGTCATTTGTTAGCCCTAGGTGAGACACTAGTTGTACAGGACTACAAGTTAGGTCGCTCGGAAAGGTGCTTAGCGCTATGACTACAATTCCACTTCAAGATGAGAAATATCTTTTGAATAAATGAAGATGCGACTAAGCGAGGAAGTCGAAATCACCAGCTTGCAGTTAAGTTTAAGCGCTAGTTTCTTTGGCTATGTATGTTAAATATTTGCCATAAACCTCTCGTATTTCTGTTCTAATCAGGAGTGATGGTATGACCTCTTTAGACAGAGTTCTACTTAACCAAGGCATAAGTAAGTAATATCTTTGTAGACTGTTCAGCTTAAAAGGAATTGTTAGAACACTTCTATCCAGCTAACATGTCAACTTCTTCATCTTTGTCGGAGTCTGGGTGACTCGAGCCGAACAGTTCTGTGATAACCTCACGTAAAACTGACCAACCTAAACCGATAGTGTTGGTATGAGCTGGAAGCCTCTTTATGACGTCGAGCTATCGTTACTACAAATCTTTCGGAAGTTTTATAATTTGAATTTGAATACATTAGAACTGTTCAACTGTTGGCTATCCGATGAACTGTTTGCGGGTTCACCCATGAGTTGTAAGCCTCAGCTTCTATTGTTGGTGATTGATTAAACGTTATTAACTGTTATGTTTTACCCTGGTTCACATTCATGTCCGACTTGGCGTTTTTTCACTTTCTTTCTCGTTAGCTGTGAAGGTTTCAGGCAATGCGAATCCTCGTGACCGGCGCGGCTGGATACATTGGAAGCCATACAACGCTTGAATTGGTAGAATCTGGGTACGAGGTGATGTGCATCGACAACTTCTCCAATTCCATTTCTGGTTTGACCTTTTATGTTTTGTTTCTACCGTATTGAAACACTGTTTAAGTAGGGTTACCGAGCCCAAATATTTCCGTGGAGACTTCGAATATTGTGGTAGGTCACTTTCAGATGGCAAAGGACATGCAGTTTCGTTATTACGAGTGAGCGAGTTAGTCGGAGAACCAATACCATTCCAAGAGTGCGATGTGTGCAACTTGGAACAGTTGGATGCTGTTTTTTCGAAAGTGCTGCTTATTCTTTGAAGTAAAATAAAGAACTTAACTACTTTGTTTAGTAGCTTAAGAAGAGCTTTACCTGATGTTTTGCCTATTTTGGAATTACTATTAGTGAATGCTGACCAATATCGTGAAAGGCAATGCAGTTAAGTGTCATCACTCGTTAACAATCTTCTATGGTCATGCAGAGTGCAGTTCAAGCAATATGGAACAATCCTTGCGTATGCATGAATTTTCAGTATTACTATCATATTTTATCTTTAATTTTCTTAGAATAAGGCTACACAGGGGCGTGTGTAGCACAGTAGTCGGAGGCGCCCTGACACACAGGATCAATCCCCGCCTCCAAGGTTCCTCAGGCCTTCCATCCCTCCGGGGTCGGCAAATTGGTACCAGACTTGTCTGGGAGCTAGCAACAGTGGCTCGATGCATCGGTAGGCCACCGCGAATCATTGTAAAGATCAGATACGCATTTTTTTCACCTCCAACGAGGCTCATTGAAGTTGAATGCATTATGCATTACGTATCTCTCAGGGATTGATCAGCGCTGAGTACATAATCCTTTTTAAGACAGATTTGTTTCAGCATATTGAAGTAATATTGCGAAGTTACGTGTACGTTTGTTTGTACGTAGTGTTTTCGACGACATGGTATTTTTGCAGGGTAACTTCGATGGCCTGGTTCATCTGGCCGCACTGAAAGCTGTTGGTGAATCTGTGGACAAGCCATACGAATACTATTCGAATAATATCATTGCTAGTCTCAATCTCATTAAGGTATAGCTCCGTTATTGCTTAAGAAGCGAATGAAGCATGAGTACCAACTAAAAGTCATCAACATTTCAGATGTGTCAGAAGTATAACGTTAAGAATTTCATCTTTTCTTCAAGCGCAACGGTCTACGGCGTGCCTAAGGAGCTTCCTCTAACAGAAGAGTGTCAAACTGGTCTGGTGAGAAATGGGCTGGTTTTTGGCTGATAGTGCCTTCCATGTAATTACACGTACTGTGGATATTTTCCTAATTATCGTTTGTATATTTTTGCGCAATCTTAGGGTATAACTAATCCTTATGGACAAACGAAATATATGATGGAACAAATTTTGATTGACGTTGGGAAGGCGAATCCGGTATGCGGTTTGTTCTTCAGTATTTGATCTCCGCTGGGCAAGTGATTAACGATTTTACGCTCAGGAATGGAATATTATTTTACTGCGCTATTTTAATCCTGTTGGTGCTCATCCAAGTGGACGAATAGGTGAAGATCCGAAGGGTATTCCCAACAATCTCATGCCGTTTGTTAGTCAGGTTAGCTCTGCTTCAAATATAAAGATGAAATATTGAAATTTTTAACGCATAACAGCCGTCACGGTCCGTCATGCACAGTGCATTTTTTCCAACACCGACTTTCTATTGACCTTGGCACTGGTCAATAATCCACTGTTTTTCTTCGATGAGAAAACATGAGGTTGTATTACAACGCTCATTAGCATACGATAGCTGATGTCTCGGAGGTTTCGCCTCCTGCAGAGCCTTTAAAGGTTAAAAAAGGTCAAAGCTCAGGTTCTGAAGAAGGCGAAACCTCCAAAAATCAGCTATTGTGTGTTAAGAAACACTATAATGCCAACTTCGTGTTTGCTCATTGAGAAAAGATCACTGCATTTTTTATTGGGTAAATGATGGCTGCTTCATCCTTAATCCAACGCATCTTAGCTTATGTTGAGCTTCTTTAAGTCGATTAAAAACCCTTGGAATCTACAGATTTTTTACGAATTACGGGCTCTTTTATCCTCTTAAGATGAAATTCTGATTTCCTTGAGCCCAAGACATCTTTTCTTTCTAATTTCTTTTTGCGTCAAGGATAGTAATTTGGACACGCGAGCGATAAAGCAGGTAAGGTTTCGTTCAGCAAGGACAAATTGATATAGGCCGGCGTTTTTGGTGTTAGACCGCTCCTACGCAGGAATTTTAAGCAATTTAGAAAGCTTTTTTTTAAAACTTTTCTGGCAGTTTAGTTAAGAACATGCTTAAACAGGAAAACACGCATACGATTAATGCAATCAAGCAAGCTGTTCTCTGTAAATCTGTGAAATTCTCGACTCCTCAAGTAATTTGGTGGCCAACAAAACATTGTCGTCGATCTGAAAAGCATTTTTAGTTCAACTTTGTGCTAGCTATGAGTTAGTTTCTATAGTTGAAGTCTTCAGGTTGCCATTGGTAAATTACCGGTTCTTACAATTTTCGGAGATAAATGGGATACACCTGATGGAACAGGAGTGCGGGATTTCATTCACATAGTTGACCTTGCACGAGGACATGTGAAAGCTCTTGACAGAATCCAAAGAGAAGGTTAATTTCTTTTCATTTGTTTCTACAGTTTTTGTTATCTATACTTAGATATGTTTAGGTCACGTTGGAATTGAAGTTTACAATCTTGGAACCGGTACTGGGTACTCAGTTAAGGAGATGGTTGCAGCCTTTGAAAAAGCAAGTGGACGTAAAGTGGCTACTGAGGTTGGACAAGTATCCTAGTTATTTTTTGTGTTTATGCGTTCCTCCCAACGTTTACTGCCTCATCATAGCTGGGGGGAGTTCCTGAGTGTCGGCTTGCGATTTACAGCGGGGGGATTCATTTCTCGGCACGGCATCCCAAGATGAGAAGGAGTCTGGTGTTTTTCGCAAGGAGGCCTAGCTAAGGGTAAACCAGTACCAGGACCCACTACCATCGTGGATCAAACTAGTCGCAAGGTGACAAATCTACATCTGATCCACAAGCGCGGCGACGACTGCCTCTGGTGGTGACGACCTGGCGCAGACTTTGACCAAGCTGACCTCAAGACTCCGGATAACCACAATGGCTAGGTAACACAACTCCGAAAATTGGAGAATATACTTGGGCCCACACAATCAGTGAGGAAGCGCCGTCCAAGGATTCAAGTAAGTAAATTTCTGCGTTCACCTGTATCACCTGTCGTCCCGTTGATCGTCGAGTGACTCGAGCGGGAGCCAGTAAATCTTCCATTTTTCCATTTTTCCCTGTCGCGTGCAAGAGTAGCGCAGTGGGTTCAGCTCGCTCTTGGGACTCGTCGAGCATCATATCTTTCTTCAAGGTTTTTTGTGAAGAACTCTGACCATCGGGTCGGTGGTCTTCCCGCAGTACGTTTGACATCCCAAGAATGCAATCACTAACGGCTCTTGTTCATCGGTTATCATTCATACGAATTACGTGTCCGGCCCACCTTGTCTTCGACAGTTTGGCGTACGGAACGGCATCCTTAAATTTTGATCGTTGACGCAGATCGGAGCTTCGCATCCCATCCCTTACTTCTGTGGAACGGGATACTCCTAGCATCGTCCTTTCGATTGCGCGTTCGATAACGCTCAATGACCTTTCATGCTGCTTACGCAGCGACCAGGGTTTTGACGCATACGTTAGGGCAGGAAGTACCGTTGAGTCGAAAAGGTGGGCGCGGAGTCGGGTGTTCTTTGTTCTCTTCACTACGCCCTCGATACTCTTGAAAGCTCCCCAAGCCGCTCGTTTTCTTCTGCTCAGCTCTGGAGCTAGGTGGTTCATCATATTGATTTTCCAACCTAGATAGATATAACTGGATCATTCGGAGATAGTCGTTCCGTTGAGCGTGAATGGGGTATGCGAAACCAATCCGTTCATCACGAACATCATTTCTGTGAGATTTAGTCGAAGACCAATCTTTCCACAGGCTTTATCAAAGTCGTCAAGCATACGTTCCGCTTGGATAATGTTTGCTGTTATAAGGACGATGTCATCAGCAAAGCGAAGATGGTGTAACCCGTCGACTTTCACTCCCATATTATCCCATTCCAATGTTCGCATGACGTTCTGGAGGGTGGCGGTGAATAATTTTGGCGAGATGGTATCGCATTGCCTAACTCCTTTTTTGACGTCAATGTTAATATCGTTGTTGAATGGTGATGCCTTAGTTGTGAAATTTTTGTACAGGTCACGGAGAATCTTTATGTACTGAGTAGGGACTCCTTGGCTGTCAAGGGCTTCCAAGACTGCTTCTATCTCATCTGACTCAAAGGCCTTCTGTAAATCGATGAAAGTGAAACAGAGCGGTCTTTTGTATTCTCGCGATACTTCAATGAGCCGTGTTACCGTGTGGATGTGGCCCATCGTACTAAATCCTCTTCGAAACACTGCTTGATCGCATGGTTGTCCTTCGTCTGGTGTTCTGTCAATCCCGTTTAGGTTGAGTCCAGTGGAAAGTTTGTAGACGACGGACAGTAGGCAGATTGGGCGGTAGTTGCCGATATCGTGTAGGTCACCCTTCTTGAACAATAACACGGTCTTGCTGGTCTTCCATTGAGTAGTAACCTTGCATTCAGACAAGTAACGCGTGATGAGCCGAGTCAGTGTGTTTACGAGAACCGGCGGGAGGTTCTCCAGGTGTTCTGGTCTTGTCCTGTCAGGGCCTGGTGCTGTTCGATTTTTCACCAACGAAATGGCGTGTCGGATTTCGGAAGGGAAAACCAGTGGTACAACGTTTCCATCCTTCATTTCATATCACGGAAGGTGCACGTGGCTATCGAAGAGATCCGAGTACTATTCGTGAATGATTTTCTCCATTGCCTTTCTGGACGCTGTAACTATTCCGTCTAGGCACCGGAGTGCAATCATCTTGGTCTTGTAATTGTCGAAACATTGGCGAACTTTGCGAATGCTTTTCCCAGCCTCTGCAGCTTCAGCCATTTCTGCTGCTCTTCTCTCTTTAAGATCTTGTTTTATCGCCTGTCTGCATTGTTTTGCAAGTTCGGACGTTAGTTCGAGGTTGCCTGCAGCTCGTGCGATTTCACGCTGGCGTATCAGCTCGAGTGTTTCTGAAGACAAACGTCACTTGGTTACTTTCGAACTCTGACCTTTCATAGCGCCAACGTGAAGTTGTTGAATGAGGCGACCATATTCCTCGTCGATGTTATCAGCAACGGCATCTCCCCAACAGCCGACTAATGAATTGAATAAGTCCCAGTATGCGATGGTTCTGGGACTTCGGTTTTTGAATTTAGCGGCTTTTTTCCTTTTCGCGAGAAATGGAA